AAAAGGTTTAGGACTGAATTGGCACCAAAAAAAGGTTTAAGACTAAATTAGTATCAATGCGAAAGATTTAGTACTTTTTTGGCACTTTTCCCTATTATTCTCCCACAACCCTGTTTTTACGGTTTAGGTGCTATCATTTATCTTTGTATCAACTAAGTTCACAAGTTAGAGATAAGCGGACCCGTTGTTTGGAAATTGCAAACTTAAGGTCTCGATTGAACATTCACCAACCAAGCGTGTAAAGGCTTATAGAAGCTTCAGTTTGCATGGGCTTTCGATCCCGTGCCGAATAACATAATCATCTTATAGTCTTCCTTTCATAAATAGACTCGCTAAAATATGCAAAGCTAGTGCCTAATAACATAATCATCTTATAGTCTTCCTTTCATAAATAGACTCGCTAAAATATGCAAAGCTAGCGACTATGGAGGCCACTGGGGTATATCTAGTCCGACCCCTTACCTTATCGACCGCAACTTCTGTATCGTTGATCATAGCCGATGGTATTCACAAACCGGTTCCTATATCTCTACATTCCATATTATCTCCGCAGCCGATATTCCTACTTCTCCAGCTATAGGTTGGCATTTTTACTGAAAATTTTGATGGAGTTCAAGACCTGGCACTTCAAAAACCCATATTAAAACCAGGCAGGATTACACTTGCTCAAGCTCTCTAGACGGTAACAGCAGTATAGCCATCAAAAGCACGAGTCAACAATTCAGAACGCTTCTGTAGCAACGAGCTCCAAGCTATCAAATGTAACAAGCCTCCGCATAATAATAATTGTACCACATTGAAATAGCCAAAGTCAAACGATAAGCATAATGTCGGTACTACTTGGGTCAATCCTACACCCCCAGACAACAGTAGAGTACGCCTCTATGTAAACGAAAACAGGAGGCAGGTAAGATTTAATACCCTCATCAAATAAAGTATTAGAGATAGCCAGTGCAAGATGTTCAACAACTGAACTGATCGAAGAAAAACCTAAACGTTTACTTTCAAAGCCAAAACAAAATCATGAGGAAAACTCCCTTCCAAGGATTACCATAAGAACTAATACACTGCCATTTGAAAACAGAGAGACTAGTCTCGAGCTTATTCGTCCTCCTGGCTGCGCAACCTGGCCAACTTGTTGGTAACAACAACGTCAAGTTGTGCTGCCCGCTCAACTATCTCCTTTCTCTTCCTGGTCGACACATTGTGTGCTATCTCGGCACAGTAAGTCCTGAAATCAAGTCGAGAGGCTGTGAGCAATCGGAACTGAGATAATGCAAACCTCAGATAGTTAACTGGCCCAGTGTGGCTCTTTTTTAAAGGATTTTCAAGATGTAAGGACAAAAAACACAACATACCTGTTGTGCATCATCAAAAGTTCCAGCTCACTGACATTGTGCACAACAAATTTCTTAAATCCATTAGGAAGATAATGGCGAGTCTTCTTGTCTGACCCATAACCAATGTTGGGCATCAAAGTGCATCCCTTGAACTTCCTCCTTACGCGCGAATCAATACCCTTAGGCCTCCGCCAGTTTGTCTGCATGTCAAAGAGATGAATTTATTCACCCGGTACATCTATTCGGAGATCAAAAATTTACTGACAGATTGACACAATGATCTTCATCACAGGAATTAGGGTATGTACGTTCACATTAAAAATCAGTCACAAAATACCTTTCCGCAACCCGGAGCAAATTCAATTCTTTTCGGAAATAAAAAGACTGCGGCAGACAACCAGACAAAACCAAGATAATCAAACAAACGGAGAAAAACAATTTAATCCTTCCCATGAGTTATTTTCAAAAGAAAAGGATAAGCTAACATCAACCAGTGCAGCAATCTGTTAGAAGAAAGAGAGTTTAACCGCCAGTATTTCCGTGATAAATTACAGAGACGCTTACAACAAAATCCTGTAAACAGAAAATCATATGAACAGCCTCTAATTAGAGTGCCTCCAGGCTTCGATTGAGTGTACACGTCATGACGGATTTCACTGGTCAAATTCTAGAGCTCATAAGCACTCAATGTGTGCTGTCGACTGTAAAGAGACATTTAGGATAATCAACCTAGTAGAAGATCTACGGATCCCATCGCAGACATGATAAATTCAAAACCCCATCAAAGCCCTTCAAAATTGCTCCGATACTATCCCCACCCAACATCCCTCAAGCATTAAAGCTTCAAACAAAACTAACCGAATCCAAATCCCCGGATATGAAGATTAACTAAACAAGACGATTATACACTAAATTTATATGGCGTGCTCCCAAATCCACAAGACACTAACTGATGCCTGCAGCGTTAGAAAATACAAAATGCACATTCTTCGCCATTTTCATACCTTGACGGAAATCTTACGATCACTCTGAGGCCTCTTGAACTGCTTCACGCGCTTCTTCACGATCTTCTTGGATAGCAGAGGAACAGCCATTGCTTCTGCATCATTTCAACGCCAAAAAAAAGAGAAAAAGAAACACACATTCAGCACGCATAATCATCCCAGACGATGCAGACAATCACCCACCATAAAAAAACCACAGGAGAGCGCGCTACTTAAAAAGCCACTACTAGCTCAAAATCAAACTGGATCAGCGACGGCGCATCACGACGCGACTCCAAATGGGAGATCTCGGGTAGCCAGAACTCAACTCGACACAATCTAACTCATGCTCCGCCGAGCGAGCACATCCTTATTCCTCACGAAAACGCGCGCTCAACAACAGCAGCAAGCAACGACAACCTAGCTCGCGCGCCGAAACTAAACTAGAAGGAACAGAACACCAAAACCGAACCAGAAGATCGGGGGAACGCAGAATTGACGTGTTACAGAACAGCAAAGCGAAGCGAAATCGAGCCTTAGCGAGCCAAACATACAGATTTCGTCGAGAGAAAGGGAGCGACGGACCTGAGGGAGGCGACGCCGAGCTCTTCTGCTGCTGCGAAATCCTAAGGAGAGGATCGAGGGAGGCAGCTAGGGTTTGGCGACCCCCTTATATATGTTGGAGCGAGCGAGAAGAAGGAGGCTGGTTTCGTCTCCGCGATGGGCCTGAGGCTGGGCCGCGCCCAATATCTGTGAAGGCCCACTCGTGCTCGATGATGTTGATCATGTCATTTGGGCCTATTGCTCTTGATAAAAAGCCCACCCGTGAAAACAAATTGAGAATTTTTATTTAAGGGTTCATACCACCAAAAACCCCAAACTGATTGTAAACTTATGACAAATTTACGTCAAACTAATTTTTTGAGCGCCAAAATCCCCAAACCGGTATATCCATGACAAATATATCAAAAACTAATTTTTTTACCACAAAAAACCCTAAACCGATACATTTGTGACAACTTTATCCTTTGTTAGTTTTCGTTAAATTGTATTAATACCATAAAAAATCACAGACAGATACATATGTGACAAACGTAGGATAAAACCCCAAATCGGTACATCCGTCAATTGTCACATGTCATCCAACTCAGCAATTTGATATTAATATTTTTTGGAAACTAATGGAGGGTAAGTTTAACATAAGTATACCAGATTAGGGTTTTTTGTGATAAAAAAAAATTAGTTTAGGGTAAATTTATCACGAGTATACCCCCGTTTGAGGTTTTTGGTGGTATTAACCTTTTATTTAATTCCTCTAATATATACGACTAATATATAATATTTTCGTCAGATATTGAATGTGATCCATACAAAATGTGTGCGTTCACCGTATCTACTTCTCATCGCGTTGTATATTTACCAATAGACTAATTTATATACAAAAGGGGTTTCATTACAAAGTTTGTTTTTCATCAAAGGTTTCATTACAAAGTGATTATACAATTTTAGGTTGTTAAGAGCAACAACGTATTATCTCATTCTTTTTAATCCAATGAAAGAAAATCAACATAAGTTGTAGCTGAAATTTCGTAATTAAAATTCGATATCCTTAAATGTAATTATACATTTTCATATAGGAATCTCATATTGCAAAACAGTCATAATTTCAGAATCAATCCATATAAAACAAAATTACGAAGAGAACTCCTTATTGATCTAATAAATAGTTGCGCTATCTTATTCATTTCCACTCATAATAGCCTCATAAGAAATCTCTTCACACGAAAACAAACAGAAAAATATCCCGGTAATTAGCTAAATTACGATGAAAATACATGGGGAAAAACTTTTAAATTCGAATAATGTTACCTATATGTTAATCGGGCACCATGCTAACAAAATTCAAATGAAACAAGACACGGTTTGCGACGATTTTACTTAGCAAGGGGAATGATCGATGCGACTCGCTCCTTTCGTCCGGTCGATAAACGAAATATCGTCGCATCGAACGAAGTCGGCTTCTCAACTAGTAAGGATATAAATGCGAAATCGAGTGTCGTTGAGCTAATTGCTTGACTAATGAATGAAGATCTCTGAAGTCAAGTGACCTGATTGGAAAGCGAGCACAGGCACAAGCAATTGAAAGCTTCATCCCAGATATAGCAAGCGATCGCTATTGTAATTTAGTCCAATCGCATTCTAGAAGTCAAAATAAATAAACACAACAGACTAAAGACCAACAATTAGCTAAATATAATGAAAATGAACGGAAAAAGCTTTTGAATTCGAATATATCGCATATTTAAAGATTATGCTAACAACCTTGAAATAAACAAAGACACGGTTCGCACGGAACCCTCGGTAAAAGTAGCGATCGACGCGACTCGTTTCGGTTGCCCAGTCGATAGCCCCGAGACGGAGTCGGTAAGGACATAAATGCAGGACCGGGATTGGAAAGAAGCCAAAGTCAAATCTGCGCATCATGTCCTAACAAGCACAAGTAATTGAATGTTCATCCCCCAAATATGGCACGTTACGATTTCGCACGCAACATATTCGAATCCGATTGGGCGCATTCGAAGTAAAAAAACACGTGGATTCGGGTTAGAGCACCGCCCCGGTTTCGACGTCCTTTAATTCGCAATGCAGTCGATGCAGGTCTTGCCATAAATTCTGGTCTGTCGAGAAACACCAATGCTGAGAAGGCACGTCTTGGCTGGCACTGTGCATGTTCCTGTTCTGGCTCTTCTTGTGAATGCCTGCTTGGGAGCCAACCTGTGATCCCTATAAGAGAGCAGCTGCTTTGTGTTCTTGGCTCTCCTCGTACTGGGTTTCTCTCTCTTTTTTCTCGAAGGGTGAGAGGCTTGGCTCTCAGTGGATTTCTTCATGGTAAGCTATTTTTTCCCTTGGCTGTTTTGCGCTCCCCCTCTCTCTCTCTCTCTCTCGCGCCCTGTTGTTCGGTTCATTTCTTGGGACGGCCCGGCAAAAAACCCGTTAGTTCGTTTTCGCCCGATGCTCCGACCGATTTTCTCTCGACGGAATCCCGATCTTCTCTCTGTATTTTCGTTATTTTTTGGGGGGTCTTGGGGTGCTGATCACTTCCTGTCCAGCTGCATTTTGGTGTGCGGAGTTGATGGCAAAGTCAAATCTTTCTGTAATGATCTTGCTGTGAAGTGCAGGATACCGAAATGAGAGCAGACGAGAGGGATGAATTTGTGGATTGGGAAGGAAGGAAGGCCAGTTCCGAGGAGCATGGCGGCATAAGAGCCGCATCGCTTGCTTGTGGTAATTTATTTCATTTCTCGTTAGGCTCCCGACTCATTTCATTATATGTGCGAGGGCGACGAGTCATTTCTATGGCAACCACCAGACCTGGTCGTTCGTTCCGACGCTATGAATTTCGAATGCTATATAAGAAAAATGCAAAGCTCAAGAGGGTGTGTTTCCGAACTTTGCCTCTTTTGATTAGATTCGTCATAGTAATTTCCATCCTCTGAATTCCTAAAAAGATACATCCCTTGGGAGCACAATGGAAGGCCTCTCTTCATGCATGCATCAAATCAATCATATCTGTCAAGATTCGTGTAGTTTTGCGACGCTACGTATATTTCAGAATGAGTGCACGCTCAAGGACTCTTTTAATTTTGGGCATGTCTAGTGGTGGAAGTGCTAGAGAACCTGGTGTTCTTGTCATGTGCCACAAACTTTGTCGAGTACTTCATAATCTCGATGCATTACCCGACCCCCGTTGCCGCGAACATGGTCACCAACTTCATGGCCACCTCCTTCCTCCTCACCATCTTCGCGGGCTTCGTCGCCGACTCCTTCCTCACCAGATTCACGACCTTCATCGTCTCTTGGATCGTCGAATTGCTGGTACGGTTAACTGGTTGCTAATTCAATTGAACCAGATAGCTCTAAGGTTTAGAGCTCGGACATATTCGAGTACATTTAACTTGATTATTTGCCCAGAATATGCATGTAAGATATTGTGCAAATTTTGCTCTATAGGGACTGATCATTCTGACAATTCAAGCTCACTCCAAATCACTCCAACCTCCAAACCACAGAACACCCAACAAGTACCAAGCTGCTGTCCTCTATTTCGGCCTCTACGCGATGGCCGCAGGAGTCGGCGGGATCAAGGGGTCTCTGCAGACACACGGCGCGGACCAGCTCGACCATGGTAATCAGAGGCTCGTCTCTGCCTACTTCAATTGGTACTTCTTCTCCTTGTGCACCGGCGGCCTCGTGACGTCGACCGTCATGGTCTGGGTGGAGGAGAACTTGGGTTGGCGCTGGAGCTTCAAGATTTTGATCGCGGCCTTGTCTTTGGCTCTCGCCGTTTTCGTGTCCGGGCTTCGTCTCTACCGGTACAAGCTTCCCCGAGGAAGCGCATTCACTAGAATTTTCAAGGTTGACGAGCTTGGAGGTTTCATTATCGCTATGCGTTTGATTAATGAATATTATTACTAAACAAAAGCGCATACTCGATGCTTGTGTTTATCTTTTTGTTGAAGCGATATTGCTTTTTACTCCTCTTATTAAGGTACTCGCGTCGGCAGCCCGGAATCGGAAAGCTTCCTCGGCGGAGATATGCAGAAGATTTGACGTAGATTCAGAGGGCATTACATCCGCGGTTAACGGAAGGCTTCCCAAGAAGTTCAAGTAAGATTAAGCTGTTCGTTAATTAGTCTTCGATGAGGCTCAGATTAATGCCCCTCTTATACAGAGATCGAGCGCAAATACTAATCGGCGCTTCTCGTTGTGAAACACTCAAATCAGCCTCATTTCACCTACTGATCTATATAACAAAGTCGCGTTGTGAATGATTTGCAGGTCCCTAGACAAAGCGCTGGCCGATGACACTGTAAGCACGAGCGAGGTCGAAGAGACGAGGACCTTCATCGGACTGATCCCGATTTTCGCAAGCACGATCCTGATGAGCTGCTGCCTAGCTCAGCTCCAGACCTTCTCTGTGAGGCAAGGCACCTTCATGGACAGAACCATCCACAACTTCACGATCCCAACTCAATCCCTCACGGTCCTCCCCTTGACCATCATGCTCGCCTCGATCCCCATCTACGAGCGCTTCCGCGGCGGGCTCGGGGACAAGCCTCGCGGCAGGATCTTCGAGCCGCTGCCAAGGATCGGGGTCGGGCTGGCCCTTGCGTCCGGGTCCATGGCCATCGCCGCGGCCGTCGAGGTCAAGAGGCGGAGGGCCGCCACCGACGACGGGGTCGCCCTGTCCGTGTTCTGGCTGGAGTGGCAGTACCTGCTCCTCGGGGTCTCGGACATGCTCACTCTCGGCGGGATGCTCGAGTTCTTCTACTCCCGGGCACCGGGGAGCATGCGGAGCGCGTGCACCGCCCTCGCGTGGTGCTCGACGTCAGTGGGATACTTCCTGAGCTCGGTGCTGGTGTCGGCGATCAACTCGGCCACCGGGAGGCTCGGGCGGGAGTGGCTCGAAGGGAACGATTTGAACCGGCAACGTTTGGATCTTTACTACGCCCTCCTCTGCGTCCTTAATTTCCTTAATTTCCTGAACTACATTTTCTGGGCCAAGAGGTATTGAGATCCAAAAATCCGTTTGGGATTATTCTGATACTTAGAGCCAAATAAAAACATTAAAAGATCTCTTACATCTATAGCATCGCTATTGCAAAATTTATCGTGTTTATTGCAAGAATGCACGACAGGCGATTTTATCGATCTATTTCCAGGGGTTTTTTTTTTCCGTTTGCGAAAGTAAAATTCTGAAAGAGTTAGTCGTAATTCAAAATTAGTTGGTAATTTAACTGGATAAAAACTGATATATTATCCTAATTAAGGTTGGTAATCTATTGGAAGAGTTATAAATATGAAGGGTTGCTAATTACGGATAGTTAAATAGTGAAAAAGCAATTAGAAGTGGGTAATAACTGGCTTAAATTTGATAGCCTTAATCGAGTTGGTAATTTAATTTGAAGTCACTTTTATTTAGGTTAGTTCATATGGGAGTTCGTGAGTTCAATAATTTATTTAATTATGCAAATAAAAATTTGGCAACTTATGAACCACGAAAAGTTAATAATTTTATAAAGGTATTTGACCGCCGCCGGCTGCCGCGGCTAGTCGCCGGCCGGCCGCCTCCGCCGCCGGTCGCCGGCCGCCGGCCGCCTCCGCCGCCGCCCGGCCGCCCGGCCGCCTCCGCCGCCGGTCGCCGGCCGCCGGTCGCCTCCGCCGCCGGTCGCCGGTGAAAAATATTTTCCAAAACTTTTTCATATTGGTCGCCGAACATCGGAAAATTATGTTCCGGGAAAATATTTTCCAGGAAAATGACTTCCGGGAAAATATTTTCCAAAAGGAGAATATTTTCCGCCAAACGAACGGAGCCGAAAACAATACAAATTTTCCTTTTTTGTTTTTTTTTGTTTTTAATAAGGTACGAGGTCGAGATCTCCGTTTTTAAGAACATGAGTTCTGCAAATTACTAGCATTAAGTTTGTCTGTTCTGTTTATAAATAAAAAACCCTGGATTCCGGTCCAGCGAACATCATCGTTGCAAAGCGCGTGCCAACTTTTCATGTTGTCGGAATCCCGCACATTCGGACCTAATCATCTATATTCTATAATTTCGTCTTCCAATAATTTTTGGAGAAATGAAAGTTTCACGAACCCCCATAGATTCCAAATGAGAAAATGACACAAAATGTGCGTGAATTTCGGTACGACATATAATATTATATAGATAAATATACTAGAAGTTCTAAAACTTATCACGAAAGTATAATGGAGTTTTAAAATTTTCAAAAAACATAATTAAATCCCAAGACTTGTCACGAAAATTCAATCGAATTCTAAAACTTGCCTAAAACTTGTCACGTAAGTACAATCGAGTCCTAAATTTTTCAAAAAGTGCAATTAATAATTACACTTTTTGAAAAATTTAGGACTCTATTGCACTTTGTGACAAGTTTCAGGACTCGATTATAGTTTCGTAACAAGTTTTGGGGCTTCCAACGCACTCATCCTTATAATATTATGCTTGAATTTTTAAATTGTTCAACGTGGTCAAAAAATTTTTGTTCAATATGCAATGTCGCCTCTAAACATTTAATTTGTTCAATGCGGTACTTAAACGTTGGTCTAATATTCAGTGTGGTCCGATGAATCAGGGACCACATTGAACTTTTTCTTAGGATATTAATCAATTCCAAAATTCGGAGACCACACTGTCTAAATTAAAAATTCAAAAACGATATCGCAAGATAGAATCCCGTTTCAAATTTATAAAGCCCATTTTCCCGGGATGTGCATGCGTGCATGCAATTAAATAAAAGGTTGATGGGATTGTCAGCCCTGAGCCGTTCGATGCAGAATTTCAAACTCCACATCTTCATCGCCGCTTGATATCAAATCAGTCCGATCTGTTTTTGTGTGCTTCGTGGTGCGCAACCCCGTGATCACGGCGGGGGGGCCCAACCTTCTCCTCCTAAACCATCTCTAACATCTTACTGTGAACGTGCCTTAATCTTGTCTTAAGCATCATTGCAATCACCAGTAAAAAGCCATTCTCTTCGCGTCCAAGGCCCGTTCAGCGTTCACTTTCCAGCTTTATTTGATTCGACGTTGCATTATTTCCGACACTAGATTGAGAATTAGGGGGGCCTGCCCTACTTGATTTGATGCATGGGCCCTGCCTCATTATTTGGATTTATAGGCAATGAAAAATTTGCCATATTATTTAGTAAATTAACATGTTTTAATGAGGAACGGCAGCGCATCAAGTATCGACCGATCATAATCATCGTGTACTCTCGACCATTGTTGCATTGAGCAGTAAATTTTAGATCAACGGTCGAGATGACTGAGATATCGGATTAGAGTATACCGAAAGATGTAGAAGATTCAATCTAATATGTATGCTGATTTTACGCAATAATTTTTTAAATTTTAAAGTGATTAACCGGTCAATTTCTCCTTATAGGACCAAAATCCAATTAAGCTTCCGCGTTACGAGGTGATGAGCTTTCAATTGTGTATGGTTGATAGCCATGTCAAACGGGTGGATTAAGTCGGATTTGGGTTGGGTTGAGTAGGGTCATAAATGGTCCGACTCAAATTGACTCATTCTCTCGTTTATGATCCTTTTGTTCGTAATACAAATCTATTGATTCATATCTGACTTGACTCGTACTTGACCCGATTCTTACTGTTAGAACACTTCCATATTTAACTCAATGTAGGAAAACACATATCCAAATTGAAGTGAGAGCGCGAAGTGAATGAAAGCGGAATGAAAAGAGAATCATAAAGATAAATTAGATCTAAGTAAATTGTAAATTCATTTACAACCATTTATGACCCACTTAACCCATTTACGAATATAATTAACTTGTATAACAACTCAGCCCATCATATACACCCATCATATACGGCACTCATTTTGACAGGTCTAATGATCGAGATTAAAAACATCTTAAAATTAGACTATCAACAAGTAGAACCACATTTATATGTAATTAAAAATAATACTTTCACCTACAACTCTCCAATGAATAAACCATGCGTGAAAGTGAAACACCCACAGCATCTGTTTTCACTATATATTGATGCTCTCACCTTCCACACACGCATCTAAAACCAACCCAAAACACAACACCACCACCACCACCACCATTGCTCACCTTTACCATACCTTCCACTGAAAGATGGCCGCCGCCACCGCCTCAGCCGCCGCTTCTCTTGTCGTTCTCCTTTCGATCACCGCCGCCCTCTCTCTCATCTCCCCCTCCCTCGCCCTAACCTGCAACCCCCAGCCCTCCTTCCCCAACAAGAGGACTTACTCCAGCTGCGCCGCCCTCCCCCACCTCAACGCCACCCTCCACTTCACCTTCGACCCCGCCAACTCCTCCCTCTCCCTCGCCTACTCCGCCGCCCCGCCCTCCTCCTCCGGCGGCGGATGGGTCGCCTGGGCCATCAACCCCACCTCCACCGGCATGGTCGGAGCGCAAGCGATGATGGCGCTCAAGAGCTCCTCCGGCTCCGTCGTCGCCAAGACCTTCAACATCTCCTCCTACCACTCCATTGTCGAGTCCAAGCTGTCGTTCGACGTGTGGGACCTGAGCGCCGACGAGGCTGCCGGCGGGACCATGAGGCTGTTCGCGTCGGTGAAGGTGCCGGCGGGCTCGAGGAGCCTGAACCAGGTGTGGCAAGTGGGCGGTGCGGTCGAAGGAACGAGGCCGAGGATCCATGACATGGCGGATGCCAACAAGGACGCCAAGGCGACGCTTGCGCTGGAAGCAGCAGAGAGCATCACAGGTCGTTCTCCGGCGGTTTCTCCGGCGGCGGCGCCGGCCCCGGCCCCGACCAGTGGAGTTTCGAGGATCGGGGAAGGCAGTAACGGTGCTTTCTTGGTCTTGAGCTTGGTTTTTCTAGGTAGCAGTATCTTCGGGTATTACTAAATGTTTCTTTCGTGAGAATACTGATGTTCTTCTATTAAATTTGAGAGACAGTTTTTTGGGTTTTGCCATAAATATTTTCTTGATGTCATCTCCATATTTTTTTCTTTGCTAGAAAAAACAGCTCTTTCTCTCGATAAAAACAATAATAAAAAGAAAAAAAAAGATAAAGCATAATCCAGTCAACTAAATTCGGTTCAAAACCTGAACTAGACCGACGGTAGCAAAGTATGAAACTCGATTCAATCTTGATTGAGCTCAACTTCTTAAAGCTCGGACAACTCGATTAAGCTTTCAATAAGGTTGCGCTTGACTCAATTGGGCTAGACTTGCTTGGCTGATCAATCTTACTCTAATCTTGAGCTTAGTTAAGCTCGACTTCGACCTCGAGATCGAATTTGTATAGCAAAAAATGCATTTAAATCGAAAAGCAGTACTGCCTATCTACAGAATTATAACAAGAAATTTACATACAATTAAAGTATGTAAAATGCAAGTGATCCATTAAGCTCGTAAGCTATTCGAGTAAAGTAACTCCAAGTTTTGGCTTGACCAAGGTACTTGAGCTGCCTTGAGCTCGACTCGATCTCAAAAAGAACCGAGTTCGAGCTCCAGTAATTCATGAATAGCTTAATTCGCTTGCATCCTTACTGAACAAATATGCATAATTAGTCCACGTTTATGTTAAATAACCACTCACATGGATAGGTTAAATATTCATGAATAGCTAAGTTCGTCAAAAGCCGTAGGACGAAATTGGCCAAATTAAAAAGTTTAGAATCGAATTGACATCAAAGTAATGAGTTTATGACTTTTACTTTTTATAATTATCTCAAAAAAGAGCAAATATATTTGGTCATATTTTTCATCCCAAAAGGGATTAGTTGGTGTTTAGGGACGCGAATAATAACCATTTTATTTATCTGTTTTTCTATTTTTCTGTTCCTAGGAACAAGTTTGGAACGAAAATCCGTTTGGTAACGCAATTTCATTTTTCTATTTCTGGAACAAATTTCTACTCCAGAAATAGGTTTAGAATAGAAATTAGAAGTAAAAAAAATCTACTTTTTTATTTCTGGAACAAAAATAAGAAATGAAAACTCTTCTCATCGCTCGCCCTCGCTGCTAGCCGACTGCCTACCCACTGCCCGCCGTTGCCACCGGTCACCTCCCGCCTCCGCTAGCCGCCTCCCACCATCATCGTCCTTTGCCGTTTGCCGCCGTCCTCTGCTATCGGTTGCGTCCCACCGCCTCCCAACGCCCTCCACCACCACCCGCTGGTGGCCATTCACTGCCGCCTGCCATCTGCTGTCCTCCGCCCCCGCCCGACGCCGTCCGCCTCTCACCATTGGCCACTGTTCACCACCGCTTGCCGGCCATCTTTTGTCGTCCTTCGCTGGTCGCCTCCTCCCGTCCTTCGCCGCCGCCCGACACCGGCCACTATTAGCCATTGCCGGTTGCCTCCCGCTGTCGGCCGCTGCTCGCTGGCCAACTCCCACCACCGTCCTCCACCATCGGTCGTAGTCTGTAGTCTTCCGCTGTTGTGTGACGCCGGGCACCTCCCATCGTTGGCCGCCGCTCGCCGGCTGCCTAGCGCCACCATCCTCCGCCAATCGCCTCCTGCCACCGTCCTCCTCTGCTGCCCATCGTCATCCGCCACCACCCGACATCGACCCACTCCCACCACCGTCCTCTGCCGCCGGCAGCTGTCTGTAGTTCTCCGCAGTCGCGCGACACCGGCCACCTCCCACCATCGGTCGCCGCCATCTCGCCACCGTCCTTCGCCGCCGTTCTTCACCTTCCATTGCCACCCGACGCTGGCCACCTCCCGCCACCGCCGGCCGCCTCTGGTTACCGCCTGCCAGCCATTGGGGAGGAAAAAATTTTGTTTCGTTATCAAACGAATTTCTATTTCAGGAATAGAAATTTTGTGTCATTATCAAACGGGTATTTTGGCAAAGAAACTCATCCATGGAATAAAAATAAAAAAATTGATTTCTGGAATAAAATGGTTATCATTCACGTCCTAGCATGCCAATCAGAATCCTCGAAGATAGGGGCGACGACACATGAACAGGCTCCAAAGATAATGGAGCGCTCCTTATGACAAGTTTTTACATGCTAAAGTGGAAAGGGCATGATGTTTGTGTAAGCTTGTGGGCCGTTGGACTCATGATTTGTTGCTGCTGGATCTTTTACACGTGCTCCGCATGCTTTGCTTGGTGGTCCAACCCATGTTTTCAGCACGACACGGCGTTTTGAAAGTTGAGAGGTCGCTGTTTATGTGCATACCATTTGAACATGCTTAATTGGCGGGGCTTAGACGGGCCGGGCCGGGCCTAAAAATCCTTGCCCGAGCTTCGGCGGTACCGGGGGCTCATAAGGGGAATTGCTTGCTCAGTTCCATCTATATCGCCTCCGAATTACCGTTTGGCTCACAAATTGCGTGGTGATTTTAGGGAGCTTACTCTCCTGAAGTCCAAGCAATTAGGGGGCAACATGTCGCTTGGGAGTCAATTTGCGCACCTTAATCTATACATATCTCTTCAATATGAACACTTGTAAGTACGTGTTACTTTCCCTAGTCAATATTTTGGCTATCTCAATTCAAAGTTTAATCGGAATTGATAAACTGTATCTATCTCTACAACCGTGCATAGGATACGAGCATAAATAAGCTGCAAACTCGAGAGACGTGGACATTTCCATCGGTTTATATCTCCCCTGTCAAGATAAGAGCATACCATCTATTTCGGGCCATTCGCCTTGGGAAAATGCGTGGTGTTTGCTATATATCCTTACCATCCGGCCATCATTCAATCAGTCGAAAATTAACACATCTAGTACGTGCTAAACTCGATTCAACAAAAATACACAAGTTTCTTTTCTAGAACCCAATTATTTCATTCGCGTTAATTGCTTCACTGGACTCCAATTTCCAAACCACATCGATTTGATATAGGCAACTAGGCTTTCATTGTCTCGTCTTCAGCAAACGGTGCTTTCCTAATAGCCCAATTATAAAAATAGAGTCGACTGACCACAGCCATGAACACTTGCAGCACTTATTAATTGCAATAGCTGACCAATACGTTGGTCGCTTCTGTATGGATCACAGGCACGCGAAGGACCCAACTGAAAAAACAAAAGATAAAAGAGGGCATATAATAAAAGCAAGAGAGCCGAAGGGAATCTTTCCGATTTTAACTCTCGCGCATTCAAGGAGAGATAAAATGTAGGTAGGGTCAACATAGACAAATGATATAACTATTTTCATTACAATTATGATTTTCCATAATAAATAAAAATTAATTTTTTTTGAATTTTTCGGCAAAAAGCGGCACAACATTGTGCGATTTATTGGGTTTTGACCCGAGTCTTGAAAGCGGAGTTCTCCGAGAGGTTTCCATCGACATCTTATAACGTCGGTCTACATCTTGGCCTAATGAATTTGATGTGTAGCCGCGATTCACCGTAAGTAACCGATAAGAGTTTCTAAATAAAAGAAAATTGGAAAATGGTTTGAGAGTGAAATTAAAATTGAATTTGCTCTTTATAATAGTCGACACTTGCCTACAAATTTCAGGATGAACAGCGTACTAAAGAAAAGGTCACCTAACTTTTCAGCCGGTCAGCTCTTCAGTCTTTGGTCAAACTTTGGCTCGTACTTTTCTTCTTCTTTTTCCCCCTTGGGACGGTTCCCAGAAGTTCCCTTGATTGCCTCGAGTCAGTGCAGTCTACCAAATAAAAGTCAAGGTAGTCATACTACTCTTAGGAAATATAAAATAAATATATATATAGAAAAAAAGGGACAAATAATAATAAAAAATGAATGGTTGGAAAAATGAAGTCAAGATAATAATTCGCGGGTCATCCCTTTTCGTAGGCATTTGACTTCAATCTTTATGAAATGGGGTTTCGTTTACATCCATCTCAAATTAGCTAATGATGATATAAGCATGCCTGTGTCTTTTTGACCACGAGAGTGGAGTGGACCAAGTGGAGTAACTAATAAAGATGTAGCTGGTCGGTTCACGAGCGATTTGGATCCGATCATTAATTGGGTCATCTGATATCAATAAAGTTTTGGGTAAAATTGGTTAGTAAGGAGTCGAGAGTCGGAATTCGATGGACGGATCAATTTGAGGTTCAGATTACTTTCAGGCGCGTACCACAGATTAGTCGAATTTAGATTTACTAAGTCAGGTCGGGGGGGTGGGGATTCTAGAGAAGATCAAGTCCACTTTTCACCTATTGATCGACCCATGTTTTAGCACGAAAACACATCGATTCGGTCTCGAAAAATTCCGAAAAAATCATGGAAATGTACATACGACCTTACACGCTAACCTCCATGCATTTTCGAAGCGTCCCGGGCGTTCCTAAAAATTCAGATCGCGAGAGCCGCGAAATCCAAAAAGAAAAAATTGGCTAAATAAGGTCAGAACGCGGCTCTCCAATTTGCGTCGGGCTCTAGCGGAATGAGCTACGGAACTTTTTTTACCTTTTGGGCTCGACTCAGCAGCCGCATCGCGGTTTCGCAAGCCTAAAAAAACGCACGGGGCTCCACACGAATCGCATCGCAACGACAGCATCTTCGCGCACGGGGGCTGGTCTCGAGCTCAGAACTCCGGGTCTTACTCTGTCTTTCGGTCTTTCACAAGACCGACCGGGTCCGAACCCGAGTCCGAGGAGCGCCCCCGCCCCGACAAGTCCCCCACGAATCCCCGGGTCCGAGATCGGTCGCCGTTTCGATTTAACTAACCCACCCGCGATTTAAATCTGTTAACCATTTCCGTCACGTGCCGATTCTGACCCTCTTGCGGCTCTTTTGAGCTTTGCCGCGATTATTACACACGTGTGTCGCACGTGATGCCTGGGTTCTGGTCCATCTTGGTCGCATTTCACGAGGCGGGGGTTTGCCATCGAAGCCCTCGCCCCCCCGAGACGCGTGGATTAGTTTTTGCTATTGAAAGGCACGCCACTAATTTTTTTTATTTCTTTTGGCCACCGAAAGACGCCGTTATAATTTGCACGGCCATCCGTTGCTATTTGGAAAACGAAAAAATAATGCCTTCAATTTTCATTTATGAAAACAAAATCTTATGTCCACATGTCCAATCCTCGACGCCACGAGAAACAAAATTTTCTCTGTTTACTGCAAAGAAAAAGTAGTAAGTTTGTTGGAATTTTGTTAATTCGGTTTAAATCTTTCAATTAAGCCACTTGAGTCATAAACATTTTCGCGTTTTGTCAAGTGAGTTCATCCTACTAATTTTGATCGGAAATCGGTGATATGGACGCCATCCATCCTACGTGGCATGACCGGACGACCGGCACTAACGTTGACAACTTTTAATAAAATTTAAATTTTTTTACGAGCTTTTTGTTTTTGTTTTTCCATTTCTTCTAAATTATCCACATTAACACGGGTTGTCAGCAAATTTCGGTTAAAATTAATCGGATGGACTCAATTGGAAAAATGTGAAAATGTTTATAATTCAATTGGCTAAATTAAATGTATTGCACTTTTGCCAATTCAGTTCTAAACTTTTTAATTTGACCAATTTTTTTGGACGGCCAAATTAAAAGGTTTATGACTAAATTAACAAAAGTGCAATCCCGATAATTTGTCACACGTACAAATATACCTTTGGGGATAATTTGTTCAATCGGGTCGTTCGTGATCTCCATAACAGCTAATCTATCGCCCTCAAAATTGTATCATCATCAATGCTTCATACGCTTTTAATGAATTAGCAACATCTATTCTTATCTCGTGCCCATTTCGGTTAGGGGTGAGCAGTTCTCGGTCCTGTCCGGTCCAACCCAAGAACCGAGAATCGGACCGGGAGGACCGGTTCCCAGTTTCTAGGACCGGAGACCGAACCGAGTTCCAATGGGACCAATCACTTATTGGTAAATGCAAGAGGGAATTAGGGAAATTAGATTAGGCTTTTTATTTTTTTCAAATTTTTTTAAAATAAATAAATGAATATATGAAAAAATTAGAAAAATATATATATTTATCAGTCCGGTCCTATCGGTCCTGTTCGATCCAGTTCCCACCCTAGAACCGGGAAACCGGACCGCTCAGTAATCGGTTCCACTTTTAGAAACTGGAAACCGGATCGATATTCTCGAGAATCGGATCAAACCGATTGATCCGGTCCGATTTGATCCAGTTTCAATTTGAGAGATCCATCTTGCTCATCCCTAATTTTGACAAAGGCAATCCCCACTCATAATTTCGATTCTAGCCCCAATAATTACTCAGAAATTCCCCATCTCCCCCTTTCCCCATCTCCCTCGCTCTAGTCAACTCATACTTCCTTAAGTAAGTAGGCTTTTGGTCCCCTCCTCCTCCTCCTCCTCCTTTTTTTTTTTTTTTTTTTGGGCCTTTCCATTTTCCACGTCATCTTCATGTTCGCCCTTCTATAAAACCTCCCTCTCTCTCTCTCCTCTCGCTCTCTGTCTCTCCTCCCCTGTCCGAACCGTTAAGTTCACACTCGAAGTTAGAGCCCAAACCACCAATGGCTTCTTCCTCTTCTCCGCAGCTCCTCCTCCTCCTCTCCCTCCTCCTCCTCCTCCTCCTCCTCCTCGCGCCCGCCGCCGACTCCCTCACGTGCTCCTCCCAGAAGCTCACCAACAGCGCCCTCTACTCCACCTGCCTCGACCTCCCCGCCCTCTCCGCCTCCCTCCACTTCTCCTACAACGCCTCCAACTCCTCCGCCGCCGTCGCCTTCGTCGCCGCCCCGCCCAACGGCGAGTCCGGCTGGGTCTCCTGGGCCCTCAACCCCACCGCTTCCCTCATGATCGGCTCCCAGGCCCTCATCGCCTTCCGAGACTCCGGCACCGGCGTCCCGACCGTGAAGACCTACAACGTCTCCTCGTACGCCTTACAGGAGTCGCCGATCTCGCTCGAGACGTGGGACCGGACCGCCGAGTTCGACTCGGCCGGCGGCACGATGAGGATCTACGCGAAGATCAAGGTGCCCACCGGCGGCGACCCGGCGAAGCTGAACCAGGTGTGGCAGGTGGGGCCGAGCGTGACGAGCGGCGTGCCGGACAGGCACTCGATGGCGACGGACAACATGCAGTCGAAGGGGACGCTCGATTTGGTCGCCGGGCAGAGCACGAGCGGCGGAGGCGGTGGATCCGGGACCAAGAAGAAGAATGTAAGCTCCTGCTTTTATTACTTGCCTTTTTCGGTTTTTCTGGCAGGTTCATTTTGCTTTTTCTTTCGCGCGTTGATTCTGCTGGGTTCAGCAGATTTTGCACTCAAATTTTTTCTTCTCTTCTTCCTTTTATCAAGAAATGAAGGGGCAGATCTGAGGTGGGTTTGTCATGGTTGGGATTTTTACCAGGATTTTTCCTAGGAGAGATTCTTCCTCTGCGTCTGTCTTTCATGATCAGAGAGGATGAGAATCTTTTCTCTTTTCTTCTGCTCTCTGCAATTGTCCATGAGCGGGTGAAGAAGAAGAGGATACGTGCTTAGATTACGGCCCATGCATAGAGATTTGACTGAGGAAGCTCAACTGTGAACGAATTGCTTTCCCAAATTGAGAGTCAATTTTTTCGATGGACCCATGTTGAAGGGGAAGCTTGTTCTTGTTGATTTTGGAATTCGATTTCTGGAAAGAATTGTTTACAATATGATGTCGAATTCGGATGTTCTGTCTTCTTCTTATTGTGGACGAGCGAGATTGATCGTGTATGTGGTTCTTCACCATATGGTGACCCTGATGTTATCTCTTTCGCATTGGTCAGATCCATGGAATTCTCAATGCTGTGAGCTGGGGGATCATGTTCCCGATCGGAGCCATCATCGCGAGGTACGTGAGGGCCTTCCCGTCCGCCGACCCGGCGTGGTTCTATCTCCACGCCTTTTGCCAGTCCTCGGCCTACGCGATCGGGGTCGCCGGTTGGGGAACCGGCCTGAAGCTGGGCAGCGAATCTAAGGCAATCCGGTACACCGGTCACCGGAATATCGGGATCGCCCTCTTCGCTGTGGCGACGGTGCAGGTAGATTCCCCGTCCTAACATCGACGTGATTCCTATTTGGTTCCTTTGTTTGGAATGTTTTGAGTCGTGTCTTGTTATGATTGGGACGACATTGACGTTTAGGGCCCTCTAGAGACGCTAAATCCTATCCCAAATAAGAAATAGACCCTAAAATTGGACTGGTATGGATTGATGTTTATCTTCACACGATCATAGAAATCTTCAAGACCTGCAAGTTGTGGAGAAACTCCGTGACTCCAAATGAAAGGCATACTGCGAGACGAGTTGCAACTCTTGCTGATGTGGAGCGAGAGCGATATGACAAGTCGAGTTCTGTAATTTTGTGCCGATGCGCATGTATCGAATTCGTCCGATGTTGATTTCTCTACCTTTGTCTGGGCAGATCTTTGCGTTGTTCCTGAGACCGAAGAAGGACCACAAGTACCGGTTCTACTGGAATATCTACCACCACGGCCTCGGGTACACCATCCTCGTCCTCGGTATCCTCAATGTGTTCAAAGGCCTCGACATCCTGCAACCTGAGAACAAGTGGAAATCGGCGTACATCATCTTCATATCGGTGCTGGGCGGAGTAGCCGTGCTGTTGGAACTGATTACGTGGATCATTGTCCTGAAGAGGAAGTCGGGTAAGCCCACGAAGCCCTACGACGGATACAACAATGGACAAGGGAGGCAACAACCGCTCGCCATATAACCAACAAAGCAGGGCACCGGCGTCCATTCGGGTTACATAGGATCTGCTGCTACTCACTCACAGAAAACATTACGAGCCTTCTTATCTACTACAGAGTCTTCTCTATTTTGTTCGTCATGCGTAGTTCTAGCCTGTATAATGACTCTTGTTTGACACAGGGTTATTCTTTGGTAATATATGCACAGGTCGTTTGGTCAGCATTCGCTTTCTCCGTTTGTATATGCGCGCTTTGTTCTCCTTTTCAAGCTCGCCATGATGGCATAATCTCCGGATTAACTGCGACTTGTAGGATCTCTGGTGCGTAGACATTGTCGATTTTCACTTCGCTCTCGCGCTAATAAGATTAGAATCGCCAAAATCTCTTGAAACCTGATCAAGAGGAGTCGCATTTACTCTCTAGTTTGAGTCATGAAGTGCAGTGCATTGCCATTCAAAAGTTTGTGTAGTCGAGCAGTTACAGCGAGGCTTTGCAGATGTAGGCGATGGAGACATCCACCATGGGAACAGCTGATGGACCCGCCTTTATGTTTTTGGCAATGCTTTGCCAAAAGAAAAGCACGCTTTACCTTCTACTAACAAAAGTGGATGGGGACGTCCTTTGTCACTTACATTCGCACTTTCCTCGAGCCGCGTAGCGTCCACGGTGAAGAAATTCGGAGAAATTGGTCGACTCGACAGAGGGGTCGCGACTTTGATGCGCGCGAATCATTAAATTAGGTAACGTGGCTATTTTACATGAATGTCCCAATCTTGACTTAGATCGCGGCTCGTTTCAACGCGGGTGTTAAAGCGGGTCGTGTCGTGTCTAATGCTTCGAGGAAAAGGAAGACGGGGCCGCATAGGAACCAAGAGGTTAGGTGAGTGATGGAATGGGGTGTTGGAAGTTTCAATCGAGCTTAATAAAGCAAAGTTCTTTATTTTGCGAAGTTATTTGGAATCCGAACCACAGTGATTAAGCACTAAAATCAACTTAGTGGGGCCTAATCTAATTGATGGATCTCTTGACTTTTTCATCAGTCGATGCCAAATGGTTGTTATAGTGCCCCCCACTGCTTTCGCTTTCATTATTAGCCAGCCCCCTCCTTTGCCTCTCTTTCTCTCTTTTGCTTTCTGTAAAATGCTCTACGTGTTGCCCCTTTTCGTTTGCTAGGATTCCCATGTAAGATTGTCGGAGCTGTCTGTGTCCTCTCTGCTTGGAAATGCGCAAGTACCTTGCTTGGACTCCGAGTGAATTACAACCATTGATCTTACGATGATCGTCGGATTCTAGTCTGCGTGTGCCGTGCGTGTTTGGGGACGTCATATGCAGTAGTTAGCTCGTCTTGTCTTCTCGCTAGGAGGAGTAACAAAACATGGAGAAGAGTCCAGATTAAAGTGGGAAGTGCTAAAGCTTGGGGGCAAAAAGTATGTTCAAGGCCATGATGATGTGGGGGGGTTAAACTTTTTCTCTGTCTTAGAGATCCACCAACTTTCTTGTATGACTATTCTATTATGATTCAAATGTCTCCATCTAGTGAAATTTACTAGGATTTCTCGAAGCCTCGGCATCGGTAATATCATTTTACAGGCTCGTTTATCCTTAGCAAAAATTTAAATTTGCCTAAAATAGTACGAATGTTGACGACTATCAATTGCTCTACCTTTAATTTACTCGGTAATTTTCCGAGCATCCACTAGTGTTTCTTCAAGTCGTGTAAGAGATTGAATCAAATTTGTACCCGGTGCTCTATCGAAGCGCGCATCAAATTAACTCGACCCGTCAATCTCAATTGAACGGTTGTATTAAAAGACGAGTCGATTCCCTATTGAATGATTCCCGGAGACACGCGATCACACAGTAGTTGTGGTTTTGGGCTTGTTACGATTGAAAGTGCAAGTCGAAGAGGCATCTTTATTCCATGGGAAGAAACGACGTTTGCGGACGTTCTCTATGTTATCATTGGCATTGCATGGGCAAAAGGATTGGTTACGAAAGCCGGTGGTTGAGCGTCATCATGAGCAACAAGAAATGGGTTTTTCTCATGCGAGCATGGGAGATGCACAAGGCATGAAAGCGTCATAATCATTCACCGCGACCAAAGTATTATCATGATTTCTTGAATGAATTGGGACCATGGCGTTGGATGGGACGTTTTGATCGGATCAACTATTCTTTTCCATCATTTTTTTATCCGTGAACTTTTGGTACATATTCAATTTAGTTCATGAATTATTTAAAAATGTTCAATTTAATCTTCCCTTAATTTAAATTCAGGGACCCTATTGAATATGTACCAAATGTTCGGGGACCACATTGAACATAAGGTGATTAGTTCAGAAATTATATCGAAAAAATTAAAAGTCCATGGACTGCATTGCACGTCGGGCCAAAGTTCAGGGACTATTCCTGTCACCGATCATTATCCCTTTCCCAAATTGTAGTATTTAGCAGCGTAGAATAAACAATTGATGGTCACGACATCGACTCCTATAACGGGTCGCTCCGATCCATTGTTTATGGGAGTCTGTCTTCCGTGCTCGCTCAACCGTATTAGACCGATGTCGATGTTTACCAGAAAAAGAATGGAACCGTGAGGTTTCCAAGAAGAGCGACGTGCGTATTTTCGTGTTGACCGGGAGGGGGAAGAAGAATACGGGTAAAGGTTAGGCGTGGGTTCCGCCGCCGCGGCCAATTCGTTCACGGGGGGGGAGGAGGAGGGTCGTGTCGTTTCGTTTCCATTCGTTCGTTTGTTAGAGAAGTCCGAAACGTGAAGTGGACAGGTTGGAATCCGTTGCTGATTCCAAAAGCTTTCGGTACGTTTCGTGGCTTTTGGCGTGGACTCGGGGACGCTTGCGCTGGGGTCTTCCCTTATTTTAATGCTCGGCGATCTTTCCTCCAGTTTGTCGTGCAACTGGCAGGATCTTTTGGGGCCCATGTCACGGTGATTGCCATGTGACGTCCCCCAGCATTTAGGCTCGAAGCAAGATTTTGGGGGGGAAATTTTTTTGGATTTATGACGTCGCGTCCGCGTCACTCGTCCGTCATCTCGTTGCTGGCTGCCGCGGCTGTGGGTTTGGGCCTTCAATTTTTCCCTGTTTGGACCGTAGTGGAATCGGGCTGGAGATTCAGCAAAGTTTGTGTGGCATCCATCCCCTCCTCTGTTCATTTTTTGGGCCGAAATAATTTTGCGAGCGCAAAGTTCCGGCGTAGTTGGTCGATCGGGGTGAATCGCGACCGTTAATTTGGTGGGGTCGTATTGGTTCTCGCATGGACTCTATGTCCGGCTGGCTGTAATGTGTCGTCGATCGGGTTTACACGGGTGTTCCCCTTGAACACGAGCTTGAGATATACTTTGTGTGGTGTTCTTTGATTTTTCATATGTACTTCTGTCTTTCCATTTTTGTGCAAGTAAGAGGATGAAGGGAGAAGATCGGCGCAGGCTATCCCTTCTGGACGTTATCATAGAGAGAGAGAGACGGGAAAGGGCCTAAGATCAGCGTTCCACGATTGGGAAGTCTCTCGACGTGAAGTGATGAATGCCCAGCTAAATTAACGATTTGACAGGGGATACGCTCTCGACATGGCTACAACTTATGGGCTCCGCGGAAAATAACGCGACCCCTGTACCACTGCAACGCCGCGCTTGGTAAGAAGAAGACCATTTCTTGCCCTTTTGCCAAAAGACGAGAACGGCATGTTTTGATACCATAAAGCATCAAACAACACAAAGCTGCAGTCGCAGAGAGGGGCCGGTGATGTTGGAAGTGGGCTGTGTTAAGGGATGTCATCTCTCCGGCCCATTTGGAAGTCTTGGCCCACCGCCTCATCTTAGAGATCCGGCGGTCGGCAACAGGAGGCCCGCCTTGATTCTCGGCCAGGGCCACCACCGATCATCGAACAGGGTGGTCAGGGCAGCGGCCGTCGGAGGCCCGCCTTGATTCTTGGCCAGGGCCACCACCGATCATCGAACGGGGCTGTCGGGGCAATGACATTGCCCCGATGTGAGGTGGCGTGCCTCCTCTCTCTTTTCTTTTCGCGTGTGGTGTTTTCTTTTTCCTTCTGTAATTTGAGTTCAAGTCGGAGGTTGAACAATACAATCTGTGTGTCGAAGTAAGTATTTGTACTCATTTATAACCGTAGAAAATAGTCATAGATTAAAAAATTTAATTGAAAGACTCGATAAGATAAAAAGAATGCATCTCATACGGTAGATTAAGCATCTGACAAAAGTTTAAGGTTGCCCTTATCTCTTTTATCTTTGTTTTCAATATTTGTGTTAAAATCCTGAGAAAATAGATCGAGACAACTAATGGTGTCGTGGTACATTGAAAAGTCGATGCAATCAAATCCTTTCGTGGACTCCGTTCGATTTGGCTAATGGAAAATGCTGTCGTTGTTTTTTGTATTATTTTCTTTCTCTTACGTGGCGATGACGTGGCTAAAACATGAAATATAAGGCTAAAATGATATCATTTTGATCAACATATGATTTTTAATACAAATTATATTTAAAATAAGCAAACTAAAAGAAATAAAGAAAAATAAAATGGGAACTTAGGCGAGCTGTCGATGACTTTGCCGAATGCAGGTAAGGGCCTGTAGGCCCTCGCTCCAATCTGGCTGAGGGTCACTAGTGGCGGCCCTTGCCTACGGTTAGCGGGGTCGCTAGACCATGCAAGGGTTGTTAGGCCTTGGTCGGGGCTTAGCGATCTCGTCGGCGATGGTGGGGGCGATGATGGTGACAAGGGCAGCTCTTGCCTAATTTTTTCCTCCTTTTTTGTATTTCTTTTTTTAAGTTTGTGCATTCTTTAATATAACTCAAATGAAATTTGTATTAAAAAATTACATTTGGATCGAAACGGCGCCGTCACGTCAGCGTCGCGAAAGATAGAGAAAATAATAAAATCATTCACCAAATTGGATCAAGTTAACGGAACCACTCGATTACATCAGTTTGATCACTTTTACGACTCAATCACATTTTCACGATAAAAGTTTTAACATTTACGGTGCAATCATCCCTTAAAAAATAAAATTTTCAAAGCTTACATGCTAAGTCGGATTGTCGGAACTCGGAAGGAGAACACCGCAAGCATAGCTGGAGGGAGAGAGAGAGAGAGAGAGAGAGAGAGAGAGAGAAGCGATCGCAGAAGCAAATCTCTCTCATTTCGCAATCAGAGAAAAACCGTCTCGATTTGTAAATTATTCCTTCGCATATTCTCCTCCTTCTCCCTCTCGTTCTCCTCCTCCTTCTCCTTCTCCTTCTTCTTCAATCAAGCGCGCACGGACGCTGTTCACCTTCCATACCTTCCTCCCTCTCTCTCGCGTCATCAAATCCAAGAGCACCGATCGCGCCGCGGAATCTCGATTCCCCCAGCGTCCAGGCGATGGAGGCGATGCAGGCGAGGGTGGAGACGTGGATCAGGGACCAGCGGGCGCGGTTCCTCAAGGTGCCGTGGGGCCGCCCGCTGCTGCAGTGGCGGACGCGGTGGTGGCCCCCGCCGTGGGCCGGCCACGAGCGCCGGGAGCGGCGGAAGCTGATCCAGCAGGAGTACGAGCGCCGCCGCAAGCAGCTCCACGACCTCTGCTTCGCCGCCAAGGCCGAGTCGGTCGCCGAGCTGCAGGAGATCCTCTGCTGCATGGTCCTCTCGGAGTGCGTCTACAAGGTATATATGCCTTGGTTGGCTAGCTCCCGCGGTGTTTGGTCCGGGCATTGGTTCGGATTCGATAGATAGTGTGTGAGGAGAGAGGCGGCGGTGTCTGTTTTCCGTTTAAGCTAGGATAGGTGAATGCTCATTTCTGTGTAGTTGGAATCAGTGCTGACTGCTGAGTGGCACTGTGGCCTGAACTAGTCAACTCCTCTAGTGCTGTTCCTAGCACGTCTTGGACATATATTTTTTTTTTCCGCTGATGGAAGTCGAGGAGTTCCAGTTCGGCTGGCGCGTTCTGCTGCAATCAAATTGCCAGACACTATTGAAATTGGGGGAGAGGGGTTATTTCTGTTAGTGAATCTGTAGTCAAATAGAGTGGCATTCGCATGACTTTGGTTTGGAGCTGGTGGCTGACCCCGGGCATGTTTGGAAGTTGTCCGGGGGAAGTGCTGTTACTTTAGTGCAAGGGAAATGGCACCATTGCTTGGCAATGAGGCATTTCGATTTGAAAAAGCTTTGTGAACCAAGGGCTGGTTGGAGCTCTTTATTAGTGTTTTGTCAGTGACTACAGTAGTTCAGGGTCTGAGGTAGACTGTCTTGTTGCTCGGAAGTTGAGGTCGTTTCCTGTTTTTTGGGGTGTGTGGATGTTATTGGGGATTTTGTTGCAGATTGGATTTCCATTATGTGGAAGGTGGGATGGAACGTGCAAAACTGAGATTCTTTCTTGACATATGTCCTCCCAGAATTTTTGAATAGTTTTGCTGGATGATCTATTACGTTAGCCATCTTAGACATGATAGAGATCCCGCGTACAGAGTGTACGAGGTATCGAGTATTTCTAGAAGTCAGCATTTTGACTGGATTTTGTCTTCAATTTTTGTACAACTGTTTTGGCATTCTTGTCATGCCATGGAGAGCAAGGGAAAGTGATCGTTATGTTTGGTTCTTTTGTGTGATTGTCATCATCCCAAGATAAGCTGCAGAATGCTTGGAATGATTTGGACTTGAATGGGGGATTTTTTAACTTGGCAACTAAGAAGCAACTTGGGACTTGCATGCACATCACTTGGAAGAATTAAATTAGGTTATATTGTTCTTTTGGGGACTAATCTAAAGCTTTTACTTTGATCAGGCTGTCTCCGTAGAGCTATATCCCCATGACCGTCAATCTTATAGTTGATGTCTTTGTATACTTACAATCCACGGTGACTTCCTATCTATGGATCCATATAATGGAGAGAAAAAATCTTTGAAGGCGTAGTGGACAAAGAAAGAATGGGGATATTGAGGAGTAAACAGGGATGATCTATTTGTGATTGAATAGTTGGGACGGGTTGGAGGGAACCGTATGCTTGATCAGAAACCATTTTTGGGTCTTGTTGATGGGCTCTTGTCTAGCATGGTATCTGTCATGACAAGACAATAACAAGCTCTTCTTCCCCATATATTTTTAGTCAGAGTAGGAAGATGTTGGCTATTTACTGTCGTTATTTTTCTATAGCTGGAAGGGGCTTCTGGCCTTGTATCTGTCATAAAAAGAAATTGTTAAAGTTCTTCTTCCCACGATATTTGTAGTCAGATAGGGAAGATGTTGGCTATATAGCGTAATCATTTGTGAACTTTGTTTATCTACAACACTGAAAGTGCGGATGATGGATTGGTTTGATAGACTTTGAACTTGCTTACTCATTAGTTAGATAGAGTATTAGTAGTGTGGTCTGAACTGAAGCTGGGGTTATTGGGTATAGTTCTTGATGATTAGTGTGTAGTTGCACCAGAATGTATCAATATGAAAGTTATGCGTGAGAATTAGTTTTAGTAGGTGTTAAAAGATATGCTATGTATACAGCATTGTTGGCCCATTTCTTGTCATTTTTGGTTTTAACAAGAAATCACTTGCGTTTTGGGAAAAACGATCCTATCATATAATACGTTAGGGGTTTAAAATTCAGAAACTTCCTCTTATTTCTATTTTACAAGTTTTCATATTCTATTGTTCCAACAATAGGTTGTTTGGTTGATGTCTTTCGTCCATATCCTATTTAATTAATGTGGGGGACCTGACTTACATGCGAGAGAGAGTGTTAAGAGACGCATTAAATGCATATAGTGGGCTTGTTATGTGATAGCTTAACAAGAAAACCAGTTTCACATGACTTGAAAAGCCCATTAGTCTTGAAATAGAAAGGTGAAGCAAGAACACTATAGGCAAATTCTAGAAAAGCCAGTTTCACATAACAATATATGTATATTTATATGTTTACTTTGTGTATCTATATGGAGAGATAGATGACATAAAATTATCTTTTCTGCAGAGACCTTCTACTGAGCTTGTTCGAGCTGTAAACAAATTCAAGGCTGATTTTGGAGGACAGGTTGTTTCTCTGGAGCGTGTTCAACCTTCAGCAGATCATGTTCCTCACAGGTTTTTGTCTTTGAATATTGTGTCAATACGTCCATTATCTAACTGCATACATTGTCTTTCTGCTTTCCTTCTGATATGTGATGTGAAGTACACTTTTTTCTTGACGTCATATATAAATACAGATTTTGTTTAATATGCCTCGAGAGAATAAAAGAGTCTAGATTTTAATGCGTTTTGTGTTCCCATGCAATTATTTTATCCAATCTGACAGTATACATACTCAAGATCACTGCATGGCCCCTTTTTTAGATGACTTTTCATTGCTTTAGTAATCAAGTGCTGTAGCATTTGTGGCTAGCCTACTGCTCCAAGGCTCAACTTTCATCCCCTCAAACTTGCAATTTTGTTCTCGTGAATGAAATCTCTTTCTAGATTACTTTTTAATTGGTTAAACTGCTTGGCAATAAATAGGTGCATTTTTTATGGCTGTTGTTTATTAAGCATTCTCGCCTATTAATCTGTCGACTATCCCCGCTTCTCTTCTTCTTGCAGATACTTATTGGCTGAAGCAGGTGATACATTATTTGCTTCCTTTGCTGGTACAAAGCAGTACAAGTACGTACAATGAACAATATAAGCATGCATTAGCTCCTTAGCTGGTTCTAACAGTGTTTTTTTTTCTCGAATTGCCACCTTTAAGGGATGTCATGGCTGATGCAAATATCTTGCAAAGTGCTATTTTTCACGATGATATGGACGATTCTGAAAGTATTGAAGGCACCGAAGCTGTCCAAGTTGATGGTTCAAAGAAAAGTGTGGAAGGTTCATCAAATTCTGTCGGGACTAGGGTTAAGCAGCCAAAAGATGTACCTAAACCAGCTGCTCATCGGGTAAGATGGACTTTGAAGTTCTTAATGCCTAATTTCTATGGCGGCTAATCTCTTAATAATTCTACCTTGTGCTTTGTTTTATTGCTTAAACTTTCTTCCCAATATCCATCCTGTTTTCACATATAAGGGTTATAATTATCTAATTGTATAGGGGTTTATGGCTCGTGCCAAAGGAATACCTGCTTTGGAGTTGTACCGTCTAGCTCAGAAGAAGAAGAAGAGGAAACTTGTTTTATGTGGACATTCACTTGGTGGAGCAGTAAGTACGGTCAGATTTGTAATAAACTAGATGTGCTTTGCGAGACTAATGATCCAGTTACTTCCTCTCCTGTACATTCAGGTAGCAGCATTGGCTACGCTTGCCATTTTGAGGGTAATATCTACTTCCTCTTCATCAAAGGAAACTGAAAAAGTTCCAGTCAAATGCGTAACATTCTCACAGCCCCCTGTTGGAAATGCCGCCTTAAGAGAGTATGTTGCAGAGTTCTTCCACCATGATTTGAGCTGATTTTGGTTGTCACTTTTCATTTTTTCTTGTTCTTGCTTTTGTTAATGACCAAAATTTTTGAATGTGCTCTGATTGATATTTTGGTAAAATCTGTAGTTCATAATGTTTCTTAGAGCCTCTTTTTTCTTCCTTTCAGCTATGTCAATACAAAAGGGTGGCAGCAATTCTTCAAGAGTTACTGTATTCCGGAAGATTTGGTGCCCCGTATTTTATCTCCTGCTTATTTTCATCATTATAATTCTCAAGTGCCATTGACACCTACTGAAGTTGATCCTGAAGCTTCCCATAATCTAGTGATGAAACGAGAGGGACCGCGAGAGAAATTAAAGAAAGGAAACGACGGTGAACAGTTGGTTCTGGGATTGGGCCCTGTGCAAAAATCCTTCTGGAGACTTTCAAGACTTGTTCCCTTGGAAGGCATGATAAGACAATTCAACAAGTTCAGTGGAAAGCACGTTGATTCTTTAGAAACATCTACTAAGATTTCTGCGGTGCCTGAAGATGAAGTAATCGAAGCACAATCTCTTGAGATCCAAGAGGGTTCTGATGGTATTTCTTTAAAACCATTCTCTGACACAGATAAGGGGTCATCGGATATGACAATGTCTGGAAAGATGATGGAAAATAATGGCAAGAAAGGTGGGGATAGCAGGACATGGCGCAGGGTGCCTTATTTACCATCATATGTACCATTTGGGCAGGTGTGTTCTGCCGCTTAAGTTTTTGTGTTTTGCTATCTGAGATTTAGCTGGTAATCTGACTGCAAGGGTGCAGTGGGATATTCTTTTAATAATGGTAGAGGTATTAAGGAAGTATACTATAAGTTATTAACTAAGTAATGTGGTAAAGTCTTATTAGGTATTTGAACAAGCCAGCTGCTTTCCACATATGCCTCACTTGTTCAAACACTCACTTAAAGTTTGAAACTATATACTGGGCTTTTTAGATGATACACTCCCTTGAAGTTTGGACACCATTGAGTAATAGTAACAACTTTTAGTGGGCTTTTAGTACTTCTAGCATATAAGCTATTTTACTAGATGATTGAGTGTTCAAGTTGTCAGTTGTCAGATTCGATTGATACTTCTATGGGAAGTAGTGGCATGAGTTTTAATTTAACAAGGGAAAGGTTTACATGTCAATCTGGATCAGTTTCTTTGGTCGATGGCGACTAGTTGATTTTAAGGTTTACATGTCAATCTACATCAATTTCCTTGGTCAATGCCGACTAATTGGTTAGCTGCCGATATCTAGCATCTATTTGGATTTGGTCATAAGACATTCTATAAGCACCTGCAGAGTGTCAGTTTTTAGACCCAGTAGGAGCATTTATGTTGTGATAGGGACGTCTTGATTGTTCGGTAAAGCTTTTCTTGTTTTCTCAGTGGAGTAATGAAGGGTATGAAAAATAACCTTATTTTTGGGCTTGCTCATCTGTGGGAGAAGCATAGTATCATTCTTGTTGCTTTGCTTTGTATCTAGCTCATATGCTTTGCTCATTTCAAGTTCTTTCTGATAATAAAATTATCTGTGAATTTTTGGGTTATAACAGTTGTATCTTCTTGGCAATACATCCGTGGAATCACTGTCAGGAGCGGAGTATTCGAAGCTGACATCGGTACGAGCTTTTATTGCCATGAAATCGCTTTTTAGGTTGGGTTAATTAGTGTAGTTGTGATATTTAATGATTATTCTTTATTCTTATTGAGTCCCTTTCCACTTTTGATTGGCTCTCTACTTATAGTTCTTGTAGGATCTCTGATCTTTTTTGCTTCTTCTGGCAAAGGCATTTTCAGGTTAGATCTGTGATTGCGGAGCTAAGAGAACGGTTTCAATCCCATTCTATGAAGTCTTATCGATCTCGATTTCAGAGGTAATTTGCCCGAGAATCAGAGTCCACCGTGCTCATCTTATCAGCAGTTGAAGTTCTAACAACTTTAGGATCCGTCAGTGTCTATCTTTCTTAAATTTATTCTTGTTTTTTCCCATTTTCACAGCTTAAATGCATATTTGTTATCTTGCCAAAATGTTGCATTATATCTTTTCGTGTTGTTCAACTAGGAGTTCTCTTTCCTACATTGAGCTTCTGTTCTTTAAGGTCCTATCTACTTTGTTACAATGGCTTTAAGGCAAACATGACTTTTGAAGTTATTTTAATTTGGCAAATAAACATAAGTTCACCTCATTTTTCTTACATTCTTATCCTTTTCGAGTGGAATTTGCTTAACATATGAACTCATTTTAATCAATTTCAAAGCTTGGACCATATTTTGAGGCATTTTTGGAGTAGCTTAACACTAAGAAGATACTTTCTTTTCCTTACCAAAAAAAAAAAAAAGAAGATACTTTCTTAATTCGCATGTTAACGACTTGACAAATGTATGCTAAAATGGTTACTGCAATGTTCATATCCTCCTAAAATTCAGTGTATCGTACTTTTAGATTTCTAGCAACGAAGTTTATTTTCTCTAAACATTTTTGAGGAAAGATGGTTATTCACCATTTTATACAGGCATAACTCTTTGTATTTCCTTTTTGCGGGAAATTGTTTTACTGGTCATCCAATTCTGCTGTTGGTGTGAGAATATTTCTGGCACTAGTGCCTTTGGGTCTTTTTTGGCTTATCGCCATGAGTTGTTGGTGGCTTAGGTTTGTATTCAGAAAAGGGCCGGCAAACGGATCCAGGATTGATGGTTTTACTTTTGCTACATTCATGTTGCCATTTTTTAAGTGCATCTGTGCCTTGGCAGGATCTATGACCTTTGCATGAGCGATAACGCCTTAGCTTTTCTAGGAAGAGAACAAATGCAGCACTTCCCTCATCTACAGCAATGGCTAAGTCTTACTGCTGCAGACACTGTAGAGCTGGGGCATATTGTAGAGGCCCCAACCATTTGCTCGGCTACTTCAATTGTTCCTCTTGGTTGGAGTGGTAGTCTTGGAGAAAAGAATGGAGAACCATTCAAAGTAGATATCACTGGCTTTGGTTTGCATCTGTGCACCTTTGTACATGCTCAGGTGAATGGTACCTGGTATGGCACATTTCACCTCATATTATATACACTGGATTTTCCATGTTGGACTTTTTTTCTAGATCTGTCTATTCATCTACTTTTTTTGGGAAAGAGTTGTTTCTCAATTAAATCTATCGAGAGTAAAGACTACCGTGAAATGCAGTGATAGCTCTATCAGCTTCATGTAGAAACATAAGAAGCTCAATAGTGTTTTATCATGAACTGAAACATGTTCCCACTTATGCTGCGTGGGATCATTTATAGTGAAGTAAAGTAGAGATTTGTAACATGCATTTGCCTGATTGCTGCTTTATCGCATATCGGATATAAAAAGGTGAAGCACGAGTTCTGTTCCACAAGCATCCTAGCGGACTACCTGAGAAGTTGTGGTGATATTTATTCTGGCATGAGGTTTAGATATGCGATCTATTATCTGTTGCATTCATTGGCGTTTGGTACCTGTTATGGTTCGAGACTTGAGTGACAGAACATGTAAAGTAAAGACTGATGCCAAGTTCACAGTACTGATTGCCGCTATTTACATTAGTGGTTCTGACAAATCTGTTAAGAATATTTCCTGGATAAAAACATCTTTCTCCAAGCTGAGTTGTAGCTTCTCCTAGCCGCCTGTGGAATATATTTGGCCAAGTGCCAATTCACTAAATTAGTTGCTTATAGGGAGAGGATGGGATTACGCTTATGTTCAGGACTATTTTTCTTGCGACCTGTGTTCCGGTTTGTAAATTGTGCTTTCTTGGAAAATATTCAGACCGTTTGATGGTTCTACAATTTGCTTGTAATACCCACTAGTGCAGTCGGCCTAAATTATGCGTATGAGGTATAACTTCCAGACATGTTAGTGGAAGCCTTCATTTTCTACTAGCACAGATTTTTCTAGCGGGAGCCGCGACAAGTGGCATCTGATTGTTCGACGTACGAGGAGAAGATTGAGCTTATATCCTGAACGCTATGATTACTTTGAGTAGCAGGGGGGACGGACTCCGAGTGTGTAATACTCCTTTTTTTTTTCTGTTGTAGCAAAAGCTGCTTTTGTTTATAGTAATAGTAGTGGACATCTCCCTCATGTAACATTAGTATTTTCTTTTTGTCACCACTTTTCTTGTGCCCTGTCTTTATTTTTTTGGCGTTAACATTTGTGTGTTCACTTGTCATTCTCAATCTTTGACAATTGTTCACCTGACTTATTAAATCTTCAACAGGCGGTCAACAACGGTGGAGAGTTTTCCATCTGCCCCATCATATTCTTCTGGTCATGATGACCATGAATTACAAAAGATGCGAGTCTTAGTGGGTTCTCCATTGAAACGGCCACCACAGCATCAGATTGTTGTAGATCCTTTGATGCCCCCATTTTCTTCGATCCGTTCAGAATCTGTTAAAATGAATGTTGTGCAAAACTCAGATTCATCAAAGGAAGGGAATATCACATGTCTAGCTGATCCAATTGATTTATGTATATTTTGCACAAGCGACTTTGCCACGGTCTCCAGGGAGGTTCATCTTAGAACTCGAAGAGTCCGACTGCTTGGCCTTGAGGTAGACTTGTTCTCAATAATTACTAATATCATTTTGTGACACTTGTGTCTGTCATTCTAATATGTAGAACTTATACCTTGTCTCAGTTTCTTAAGCCAAGAATATAACTAAGTGTTGCATATACTATTGGTGTAGGGTGCCGGTAAAACTTCTCTTTTCAAGGCAATAATGGGACATGGCAGAACAATGACAATTGCTAATATTGAGAGTCTGCTTCCAGAGCCTGATGTCCAAGAAGCCATTGCTGGTGGCATTTGTTACTCGGACTCTGTGGGAGTTAATCTTCAGGTAACTTTTTTACTTTTCATTTTTCCTTTCCTATCACAATCTGTAAGAGCCATTATAACTTTTCGTAAAGTTCACATACTGTTGCCCGGACCTAGACATGCAATATATTTAGTATTTGTGGATTGATATGATTGTTTTGATGCATTATCTTATGTGAGTATCTTCTGATTACTTAACAATTTTGGTATTAAGCATGGCTGCTTTCTTTGTTTCATCTTTAGCTTGCACGAAACATTTGCTGTTGACAGAAGCAATATGTCCCCTCCCTCCTTTCCTTCCTCTGTCCCAAGCCAGCATGAACCAGAATCTAACTTCTTTCTGTTTAATTAAATTTATTTCTTTTGTTAATTGTGTAGTTGAGTATTTTTGGCTCACATTCTGCATTATTTTCTGTTTCTTATTTCTTTTTTATGTGGTGAAGGAGCTGAAAATGGAGACCTCGCGATTTAGGGATGAATTATGGAAGGGAATCCATGACCTTAGTCGGAAGACAGATTTGATTGTGCTTGTGCATAATCTCTCCCATCGAGTACCTCAATCTAACACTCCAAACGGAATGGAGAAGAGGCCAGCTCTCTTATTCTTGTTAGACGAGGCTAAAGCTCTTGGAATCCCTTGGGTTCTTGCCATAACAAACAAGTTCTCCGTCAGTGCCCACCAGCAAAAGGCAGCCATTGATACTGTTCTTCATGAGTATCAAGCAACGCCAAGCCACACTGAGGTTGTCAATTCCTGCCCTTATGTCATGCCTGATGCCGCAACCGCTTCTCTGTCTTGGAGCGCAGCTACTGGAAGTTCTGATGGGCAAGTGAATACACAAAGGCGAATGTTTGCTCCAATGAGTTTTATCAGGTTGCCTTTCCAGAGGAAGGACACTGTTTTTCCAGTTGAGGGAGTAAACTCTCTGTGTCATCTTATCCATAGAGTGCTTCGGAGCCAGGAGGAAGCCTCTTTAGAGGTAAAATACCAAATGACCATTCTCTCTTCATGTTTTGAATTGTATGGTTTTCTGGGAGGAATAGTTGGAGAGTATGCTGACCTGGTTTCGTTGTGTGGTTAATCAAATTTTTGTCAGTCAGCATAATTTGGAAATCGTCATGTAAAATTCCGGTAATCTTATCATAATGATGACTATAGCTTTGACAAGTTCTGACATATAGGTTTTCTACTGGTTTGCTTGGTGCAAGTCTTACCCATACTTTCTTGCTTACTGATTTGTTATCTGTCATGAATAATACTTGCAAAGGACCCGTTTCTCATTTTACTTTGATTAAAAAGATTACGCTTTAACGGCATATAAATGCGGTATTTTTGTCTTCAGTTTAGTGATTGAGTGTGAAGTATAAATGGAAATTACTCCAGGGTCAGCCTTGCGAGTATTGTATGGACATCTGATCATTTCAGAAGTTCAATTAATCTCGCGTTTATGGATCTCTTCTGGTTTTACTGTCACGTATAGTACTTGCAAATAGGAAACTGGGATTATATCACTTTGAACTCTTTAGATATAGTAGCACCTCGATGCGGTTTGTTTGGTTTCAGTTTAGTGATCGAGTGCAAAGTAAAGATGGAAATTATGTACACAGGTCAAGCTGCCAGGAATTCTGTGGACGTTTCATCAATTCGGCAGTTCAATGAATATCACTTTTATGGATTGCTGTTCTCGTTTTGATTTCTTTCTAGTAATTGATTTTGCATCTGGGTCATGTCCCATAAGTCTCATTTCTTGTTTGACTTTCGAAACCTGGAGCTTCTTCTTACTACACTGTTTCATTTGAATTAAATCGCAGGAGCTTGCAAAAGAAAGACTTGCCGTAGAATTGGCTCGAGAGGGCGCCTTGTCAATTGACACAGGCCGAGATTCTCAAGGTAAGTCCTCTCTGTCAGCTGCCACTGTTGGTGCTTCTCTTGGAGCGGGTCTTGGTCTTGCCCTGGCTGTGGTCATGGGTGCGACATCTGCCCTGAGGAAGCCGTAGGATTGATACGTCCCGGCGTATTCTCTTGTGGCTAGCTGTTTATCTAGATGTGTAAAGTATGATTTATGGTAGGAGATGAGGTAGGCTCGAGGTACTAGCTGCAATTGGCCGGCCATTTATTTATTCTATTTATGTAAATCATTCACTGCCAAGAAGGGTGCGTTTGGTAACCATTTTGGACAGCTCGTGGCCGGGGCGAGGGCCGCTTTTGCGGCCTGGGTGAGGGTTGCCCTTGCCAGATCCGGTGAGGGCGGCCCTCGCCCAGGCCGTGAGGGTCCAGCCCTCGCCGGCCTTGGCGTATGGCCGGTCTCAAAGAAGAAGAATTTTTTTTTTCTATTTATGATTCTTGTTCCCAAAATCAAGAATCAATTTTTTTTTTATTCTTGATTCTGTTTCAAAACTGATTCTGGGAACAAATTTATGCCCGGGAACAAAAAATTTACCAAACGAATTTCTGTTTTTTTTTTGTTCCCGGGAACAAAAGAATACAAACGGGTATTGTTTGGCCGGTTACCAAACAGCCCCGAAATGTATTTCTTCTTGGTAGGTGTGCCCAAATTTTCTAACTCAACATGTGAAGCTCTCAATTAGGATAACTCCCATTTTTGGATTACATTAGTACGCAGCAGCAGCATTTTCTCAAGATTTTTGCAGTTTTTTCCCTAAGGACATGTCTGGATTTTTTTCTTTTTGCTTAATTAAAGTCTTCACTCCACCAAATGCAAAATTGCCACGTAGATTCACATATATATTTTTTTTTCATAATTTTAAGAAGAAAAATTTAATTTTTGGAAATACAATTGGTCCCATGGATAGATATAATGAACCGACAGGAAATGCCAACAGAAAACGGAGATCGCCTGCTGAAAATGGATACCGAAGAGAGAGACATATCCCATGCGACAATACATGCTAATTATCAATGACTGGGAAAATTCCCTCCTCCATAAAATTTAAGTTTCGGTTTTTCAGATAAAAAGGAAGAAAACCGTAAAGTTCATCGGTCGAAATACAACAGCACAAGAGACTCCAAAAAATTGATGGAGCGTACATGAAGGACCGGACATCATCTAGCACAGCACGAGTAGATACTCCGGCTTGACGAGTCCGCGCCGTCCTTGGCCAGGGTCACTCGATTTACGGACAATTCCGCCTTGTATGAGTCGGAGTTGAGGACTTTCCTGCTGATATTCTTGTATATCTCGCGGATGACAATCTCGAATGATATCTGGACATTAGTGGAATCGAGGGCGGAGGTCTCCATGAAGAACAGCCCTTCTGCTTCTGCAAAGGCTTTGCCCTCCTCGGTGCTCACCTCTCTGATGTTGTCTAGATCACACTTGTTACCAACAAGCATTCTCGCGACGGTGGTATCACAGTGAGCTGCATCATCAGTAAAACTTAGAGTCAGACTTTCCGACTAGAAAACAGGCACAAGAACATATGGAAGGCGATCACATTTTTCACTGCATTATGTTTCGGGGCCACAAGCAGAGGAAAGTAGAACAGCCCAAGAGCAGTAGCCCCCTAGAATTTAGGGTCAGAAGGGCAGGGCAGTGTGTAATAAGGAGAGGCAATAAAATGGCCAGAGAAACCGGCTTCTCGGTTGCGGCTAAAAGTCTACAAGATCAGACCAGAATTTATCAGAGTATATGTTAGGAAAGTAACTCGAGCGTAGGTAGTGACAGTACTAAGGGAAGTAGATTGGAACACTTCTCCAAATCACATGTAGCAATCAATATCATCTCAGTTATCCTGTCTATATCCTTCCCTCAAAGTCATAATTTTTTGAAGAATGCTGGGGTACCATAGGCATGGTTGATAGTTAGTCTTAACACTAATCAATCACGATATGCAAGGCACTCTTCCATGTACGGCATTATTAACACGAGATGGTTTTAAGAAGTCGGGTTCCGGAAGGCTATAACTGTTTCTAAACTTGGATGTGCAGACAGGACATGAACAGACAAGTTCTCCATATTTCTAAGACAAGAGAAAAACTTCCACAAAACGAAGAAGGGCATTTTCACGGAGACAGCGATTATGAAACGCTATAGAGTACAGAAGCTCGTGGCCAATCAGCGAAACACCATTCAATAGATGCAGATATCTTTCCACTATCATTAGAAACTTTACATCCATAGTGCATTAAAATGGGCAATGGTCAAATCAACCAAAGCCGTCTTGCTTCCAATCGGACGTGAATAGATATGCACAATGCAATCACAAGCAAAACAATTCTAATTGGATGTTGAATAGATTGTTGGTCAGACCCATCGTACTGCACAATGAAACTACTAGATAGATTGCCGTTCCCGAGCAGCTTAAACTCACGAACCAATTCAAGCACCGAAGCCTAATGCACATGATCGTGGAGAGAGCTTTCACTTACTATCGAGCTCGTCGAGCCACCGCTTGACGCTCTCGAAGGTGATCCTCCGGGTGATGTCGTAGACGATGAGCGCCCCGACGGCACCCCGGTAGTAAGCGGAGGTGACGGCCCGGAACCGCTCCTGGCCGGCGGTGTCCCAGATCTGGGCCTTCACCTCCCTGCCGTCGATCTCGACGACCTGCGTCTGGAACTCGACCCCGATGGTGGCCTTGGTGTGGATGTCGAACTCGTCGAGCGCGAACCGGGAGAGGAGGTTGGACTTCCCGACGGCGGAGTCGCCGATGAGGACGATCTTGAAGAGGTACTCCTCCCCCTGCTCGTCGTCCTCCATCCGGTCGCCGGCGCCGCGGTGGAGGTCGGAGCTGGTTCGGTTAGGGTTTTTGCGGTGGTGGTGGCGGAGGAGGAGGAGGGGATTGGGTTTTATATATACGAGAGGGAGACGGAAGAAAGTGTGAAATGGGGGAGACACAGAGAGAGTTAAAACTGTCCGTTAGTGAGCGGGGGAAGGCGTAATTGGCGGGGTTTTGATTGAGGTGGGAATATATATTCAATAAAAAAAAAACTCTTTAGTCTGAGTTAATTAAATAATTAATTAACGAGAAAAAGCCATCAAAAATCTCAAAATATTGCTATCATAACACAATTGATCTTGAACTTTTTCTCTCGTGACATAAATAAAAAAAACTTTAAGCTTGTATTTACGTGACTCGTTTACCTTCCGTCAATGTTCCGTCGGATGATTTTTCAGCCAAAATAACGTCGTCTTTATTTCACGTGCGACATGTCAATACCGTTTGTCTTCCGGCGTCTATGTAGGCAGATTTTTAACGATGCTCATTGACGGAATCTTGACATAAAGTAAACGCGTAACACGAGTAAAAGCTTGAGGTTTTCCGTATCATAAAAAGATTTAAGATGAATGTGTCTAGTGGGCATAGTTTGATAACTTTTGGTGACTTTTTCCCTTAATTAATTGGTTAATTTTTTGTTTTCTTTTTTCATAGGACGATGTAGAAGGGTTTCGAATGTTTGACTTTTAGTTTTGGGGCGGTACTATTTCCACGCCCTTTCGACTCGAAGAACGACATTTTTGAAGCACCTGATTAATATATCGATGTAACATTAGGTTTGATCGAATGAATGAAATTATCTTCTCGTTTGGTTGCTAATTTATGAACAGCCGTTTTTACTATTTAGATCTATTTTGATGTGTTTTATCCGCCCTCCCAACCCCGTGAGTTACGAAAAAGAGCATCGTTTAAAGCATCTCGGAAGTCGTACAAAGTTGTCTTTGTCCCGATTCGAAGACAGATTGTCCTTCTTCCTTTCGTTGATTTGAAGTTCCTTTTGGGATCGGGTGAACGTGGGTCTCGCTTGATCTCCCTCCATCCAACTGTCTAACCCTTTCCTTATTCTATATCACCAATGCTATCGCTTTCGGTCTGTCGAATTCTCCGGCACGGCAAGAAGCAGCGGAACGATCGCGTTCATCGGCGTCCTGTTCGGTTTACAAACCCGAAGACGAAGGGCAGGAACTTGAGCGCACGATTTTCCAATACGTATCAAGCTTTTGACTAGAACCCAAGAAGAACGGGTTGACAATGGTAATGTCTATTGAGAAGCGCATCCGGATTTGAAAGCAGGCGTCAAGAAACGAATGCACGCATCTCCTGTTATCACCCTTTATATACTGTACATCTGTGGTATCCCGAGTCTCCGTTACCTCGGGTTATTCGTAAAAAAAAAAAAAAAAAATTGTTACAGCGAGCGTCTAGCAATCTGCGAAGGGCGGTTTCCGCCACGACTATCCTTTTTCTTCTTTCTTTTTCGCTTTTTTCCTGAGCAAACCTGTGCAGTAATCCGTCCGAATCATGTGTGGCTCGTATACTTTCAGCAGTTGGCATTGCCAAAACTTCTGGGGAAGGGGATGACATCCCTGACATCTGCGAGACCGGTGGCGAACAGAACCATCATGTCGAAACTGACACTGAATCCGGAATGTTTGACGGCTCCTTGCCTCCGAAGATCCAAGTACCACTCGAGCTGCTCCTGAGGCACTCCCCTTTCTTTCATCCTGCAATTTATGATAAGCCCCCCAGCAGTGTATCAATGTTAGCAACCATTCCTGTGTTGGTAAAGGAGCACAATTATGTGCAGTAAGAAAACCCAATAAGCTATGATAATCTCATACACTAGCCAGCCTAATCTTTTCCTGGAACTATCCATCTAATTTGGTGTTTGATGTACTCCATTCAGAGATCATCGTATAGATTGCCTTAATCTCTTGGCAAAAGAAGACAGCAGATCGGGTAGCTCACCTTTTGCTCAGTGAACCAATTCGTTCCTCACTTTGGCTACCCGTCAGAAACTTTCCGACCTACAAACAAGATGCACAAAACAGATTTAGGACCAGGGGTATTAATTCTTGAATGAGAGCAACTGGGAATCTCTTCTTATATGAATTCGTGTTAACAAGATTAAAGAGAAACAAAGAAAGGAAAAGCAACACCTTACCTTTGGAAGAACCATATCGAAAGCGGCCACTGTCTCTCCATCGTCCACTGTCTCTCCATCGTCGTTTAGGCGTACGTAAAATGGCTTCGCTTCTTTTGGATAATTGTAGACGATCACAGGGCTCTTATAAATCTCATCCGCCAGATAGCTGTCACAAGATAAAACCGGAGCTACATTCACTGCAAAAGAAAGATCCTTTGGAACGTAATTGACAGGTCTATATTATTGCCACTATGTACAGTACCTGAGATGTTCTGCGGTTAGAACAACACCCCCTTCGATTTTCATTTCCTTATTATCTGTGGCCTAGAAGCAAAATCAGAACATTAGTGAGACTCAGATTTCATAGCCCCCGCTCGATGTGTAATGGCATTTTGACAAATAAAATGATGAGGCGTAGACTAACCTTTTTCAAAGCCTCCACTGCTTCTTTGTAGGTGATCTTGACAGATGGTTTTGACAGTACTGATTGAAGGCGATCTATGCTTGGTTTGTCAATTCGTTTAGCAACAAATTTCATGTCTTCAGCACAATTATCCAGGATCCACTTGCAGGAGAATTTGAAAAAATCATCGGCGCACTTCATGACATCCTAAATAATCACAAGGCATAATGAGATCAAGTGGAGAACAAAGAATGGAGGCAGCCCCCTCGCTACCTTCACCTAATTATCCTCTATTAAAGATCCTCAGAGAAGAGATTACACAAAACACAGTTTTAACTTAGTCAATAGGCGAACTCCAAGTAAACACAGAACAAAATCCCAGATCTAATTGTCCGAGCCAATAAACACAGATGTACATATTGCAATATACTAATGAGAACTTCCAAGAAAGACAGCAACAGAGACAATATTTAGAAATCAAGATGTCAGAAGAAGCTGGCTGCAGCCTTAGTTTTTCCATGCATCAACTTTTCTAGCGACAACAAATATAATGAGTTGCCCTTACAGTGCATTTTTCAATATGGTCATGCTATGCATGAAACAGCTATGGTTTAATTTGAAGTGACTGGAGATGGACCGGGACTCTATTGATAGCAGGAAATTATAAGTTTTTACCTCTAACTCGGAAAACGCAATTTCGACCTCAACCATCCACATCTCTGCAACTAGTTTAGGTGATTCTGTTCTATCTGCTCGAAATCTGGGTCCAAAAGAGTAAACCTGTCCCAAGGCACAGGCATAACTTTCCAGATGTAACCGACCAGAAACCGTTAGGTAAGTCTCATTCGGAAAGAAATCTTCAAAGAATTTCATTTCTTCAGCCTTCACAGGGGCTCCTGGCTTTAATTTTTCTTTGGCTTCTAATTGTGATGCTAGCTCATCTGTTTTCTTTAAATCCTGAAGGGCAGCAACAAGTGCTTCCCTATTGCTGTCAGTTCTCTTGAGTTCTTCAACTAGCTTACTTTTCTCCCTTGCAGCAGCCTTTATGGCTTCAACACTCACACCAGCGTTCTCCTTCATGACAGTTTGATCCCTTTTCAAACTTGTTTTCCTGGAAAGTACAGTTAGATGGAACTTTTGGCAAGATCCTTCAGCATCTGTACTTGTGATAATTGGTACTTGCACATCGAGGAAACCATTATCGTGAAAGAATGTGTGAGTAGCAAAAGTGAGGGCATTACGTATACGCATGACAGACGCCACCTGCATGAGCGGGAAACATTTCCGTTAAGTTGTTAGCAAACTTTTTCTGTCGGGTAATAGCCTGAAAGTTTGGTAAGTATCTGAAATTAAACAGGATGATTCTCTTATTTTCCCCTAAAGTATAGGTAAAATCTCCTCAAAAGAAGCACCAGCATTCTTCGACTGCTGCTTTAAACTACTAATATCGAATCAACAAAGGCAATTTACCGTAGTTGTACGAGGTCGAAACTGCAAGTTGTTTCTCAAACCATCCAAAGGCAGTCGCTTCTTTGATAGTATGTAACTGTCTTGATCTACAGTCCCAATGTGAATAATTTTTTCTGCTTTAAGCCCGATGGTGTGCTTGCCTTGTGCTTCCGGCCGCTTCAATATGCCTTCGACCAACACGCATGTCCCAGTAGGCAGGAGCAGACTGGGGGGAGCTATTGAAGAGTCTACCTCTACCTGAAACATTATATAAGAAGGAAAGTCGCCCGTTAGGCGTGTATAATTAGGATATAGTGATTGAATTGAATCTAAGAAATAACAGAGGACTATTTATACGGTCAAAAGAGTAGGAGTTTTTACCAAAATCTTTCGTTTCTACCATTGATCCAATAGCCACTACCGAACATGACAAATCAACGAAAACCATTTCAACACTATGATGCTAATTTCAGGCCGCATCCTCAACCAGTTCAGCCACATCGAATCTGTCACGACTTACTCGCGAGGTCTAACGCATTCATGCCTATCCTATAATGTCAAAATCGATCTTATTCTGTCACAAGGGTCATGGGACACCTAAGATATGATAAGAAGGAATAAGAATACCTCCTAATTCCTGGTCATTCAGCCTAGAGGCCACCTGCTGCCTAATCAAGTATGTCTGTGATCCCAAGTGTTCATCCGAAGTCACTCACAGTCATTCATAGCATGGCATCAAGAGTTAGCTTATCATAAATCTGGCAGATACGTGATAAATTGCCATGCAGGGAGAGAGTCCGGACAATTTAAACCTTCATTCACTATCTCGTTAAACCTGTAATGAATTGACAGCAATCTTGCATAAACTCAGCTTAAAAAAACTCGCATACCAGTAAGCTCGCGACGCAAGAGCCGTCACTAATTTGCAAAAAGGCAAGGGACAGCGGTGGGGACGGCTGCGGCGGTGGCGACGGTGGTGGCGACTTAGCGACGCCAGCTTCGATCCTGCGTCGGATAGGGTGGCTGCCTCCACCGAACACTTTCATGATCGACCTAAAGAGTGGTATCCGAGTCTGAAGCAACTCCACGCAGCTGACGTCCTTATGCTCCGCCGCTGGCACCGCAGCCGGCGCCGGCGCTTCCTTCGTCTCCTCCTTGGAGGACTTCACCCAGCCCCCGACCACCAGTCTCTCCCCAACCAGCCCCAGCCCGTCATCGCTTCTCTCCAGCACGGTCCGCAGCAGCACTCGGTTCGAGTACTTCGACGTAGCCGCCGCATGGATGGCCGCCGGAGCTGGAACCGGAGTCGGAGTCGGAGTCGGAGTCTGAGCCGTAGCTGGAGCCAGAGCTGCTTCGTCAGGGGCCATATTGTGGCGTCAAATGAGGAGAGAAAGTATCAAGCCGAGATGGAAGAGCGTGTTGAACGAGAGAGAGAGAGAGAGCGGTTATACGGATGGTGGGAGGGTGCATTGTGGTGATATAGAAGCCCGGGGGATGCTTTGCTTGGGGGAGCGAGCGTGACATGGGAGAGGTTGGAGGAGAAGGAAAGGGATTGTTTCGGGGCTCCGACATCGGATGACGATGAGCGCAGGGAGACGAAAGATGGCGCGAGAGAGACGGTGGAGAGGAGAGGAAGAAGAAGAAGAAGGAGAGAGGGTGGTTAAGGTATTTCGTATTCTTGAAGTTTGGAGATTCGCTGCGTTTCGAGCGCGACTTTGCTGAGGAGGAGGAGGATGTGGAGAGAGAAGTGGCTGTTTTCGGCAAGACGTGGGCCTAATTTATTGGGCCGAAGTTAGCTTGTAGTCTTAATCGCGAGTCCAATTTGCTAATTAGACATGTCCAACGGGTGAGTCGGTTGACTCATTTAATCTATTTTGGCCATTTTTCTGCCACATAAATCTAATGACTCGTGCTTGACCCTAACCCATATTTCTAAAATACTTCAATATTTAACTCAATATAAAAAATCTCATACCTAAACTGTGGTGAGTGTGGGGAGCGATCGAGTGAAGGCGACAGAGAGTCGTAGAGGTGAGTTGGGTATATATAAGTTGTTGAACCTATTTAATATTCATATTATTTTGGACTTTACCATTATAAATCAATTTACTAAATATAATTAACTCATATAACAGCTCAGCCATCAAATATGGGAAAATTATCTAAAAAGTCATAAGTTTATTGCATTTTTGCCAATTCAATTCGAAACATTTCGATTTTGTCAATTGAAATTCCTAAACCACTGGTGAGGGTGAGATCGGCCCGGCAAGGGCGAGCCCCTCTGGTTGGTTGTCAAGGCCCGGCGACCGGTTGGAGAAGGAGGAAGCGAAGAAAAAATTAAAAATTAAAAATTAAAAATTGTCACCATCACATATGGCTCCTTTTTCAAATTCAAAAAAATGTCCAAAATGACCAGTTTGCCCAGCTCTAGAGAGGCGAGGCCCGATTACACCCGGGCCAACCCGGCCCGGATAAGCACAGGCCAACCGAACCTGCGCAGGCTCGGTCACCAACCGCCGGGCCGGCCGCCCGCTCGCATATCCATTTCCGAAAATCACCGGCCGGCGCCAAAGAAGGAGAAAAAGTTCTCCTCCCTCCCTCCCTCTCTCTCTCTCTCTCGCGCGTGCTGCATCGTCGTCGTCCTCGAAGAGAAGCGCGCGATCGACATTCGAAAAACTCCGGCAGGGCTCCTCCTCCGATGCGGTGAAGGAGAAGAAGAACAGGAAGAAGAAGAAGAGGAGCAGGATGAGCGGAGCGAGGCTGTGCGCGCTGCTCGGGGAGCTGGGCTACGACGGCGCCGGCTCGCTCGACCCCGACAGCTTCGAGTGGCCTTTCCAGTACGACGACGCTCGCCCCGTCCTCGACTGGATCTGCACCAACCTCCGCCCTTCCAACGTCCTCTCCCTCTCCGAGCTCTCCCAGTAACTACCTCTCCCTCTCCCTCTCTCTCTCTCTCCCTCTAGGCTACTGCTAGGGATGTGCATTTGCGAGATTTTGATTTGATTTGATCCTCGCTCGTCGTTTCGAGGAATCGGCGTTCCTAAGCTTCTTTATGCGCGCGGTGCGGTGTTGCCGTGGTGCTTTCCGTCGCGATTGCTCACTGTTTCCGTGCTGTGCTTCTCAGGTACGAGCAATTCGTGGATGAAGGGAAGTTGCTGGAGGTAAAATTCCCCGGTGCATTTGCGTCTGGGTGCGGGTTTTCTGTTGCTCTGGTCAAGCTAAGGGAGGCGAGTTTCTGGAATTTGGATGCTTGTGATGGTGTAGGACTGAGGGAGTTTTGAATGCTTGTGATCTGACAGGGGGAGGATCTGGACTTCGCCTTCGACAGCATTTCGGCTTTCTCCGTGAGGAGGGACAACCAGGAGGCTGTTTTTGGTTCAGAGGAAGGATTGAAAGATATAAGGTGACATAGTTTGCTTGTGGCCCTCTCTTCTTGAGCCTTTGTTGTAGTTCTTTGCTTAGCTAGTTTATAGTACGATTCGATTGCTAATTATCCGGGCTGGTCTTTTGCTTCGACTGTTGTGCGCATGGAAAGTTTCGAAGCCTGTGATGCCGCACTTTTGCATTGCTCTTCCTGTAACTTCGGATCGCTTTTTGTTAGGGATGCAGCGTTGGCATACAAAGCTGAAGCTCTAGAGTTGCAAAGACAGCTCAGATATGTGCAGTCTCAGTATGACATGCTCACTGTACAGGCTTCGTCCTTGATCCAAGGGAGACGAGCTAGAGTTGCTGCAACATCTACTGTAAATGGACAACTTACTGCACTAGACGACAGTCTTTCAGCGAGGAATTTACAGGTAATCGTGTCCACAGGGATAATTTCTCTGCTAATTGGTGGCAATGAGATCATTATCGAACCTGGCATTGCCCTCTCAAGTTCTCAGCCAAAGAAATCACAACACGCTCGTAGAAAAGATGGTTTTATCATGGGTATTTAGTTTCAGGGCTAAACTTGTGCCGTTCAATGATGAGCTTTTTTATTACCACTTCTGCAATTTAGATGAATGCAGTTCTTGGAAGAATTGCTTCTACTGCTCAAGAATTGGCCCATTATCATTCTGGAGATGGTAATACTCCTTCTGTCTTTCCTCATTGATAGATAATTTATTCTGTAATGCCAATACCTGGCATTTTTGTTATTGTACTATTGATCTTAAATTTCTCTCAAAAATCTTATGTTTCATGGAAATAATGTGGAGCATGATCTAGATGTTGTTATATTCTTTATATTCACTGGTTTAAGTCATGTTATTTGCGTTCTTTTCCTTATGGCCACTTTTATTTATCTTCCTATATAATCCTCAGTTACCTTCTTTCATCTTTTTCTGAATCGTGGCATGCACATTTTAGAATACACCGTGGTCAATTTTTTCACATGTGAAATATTTGACACTCATTGGACTATTTTTCCCCTTATCTTGAGAATATTGTAATGGTTGTCTTTTCTTAAATATGTAAGCATGAGTGTTATGCCAATAAGATTGGAAGATAACACACGGCCCAAGGCCTTGTTCTGTATTTGCCCCATGAATTTATCCACATCAAGTGAATCAAGGCAGACATTTATGTGGCCATGTAAAACTATGTAATCAAAAGTTCAAAATTGTAGCTTGGCCAACTAAAATTCTTAGGCTAGTCAACTGTCCTTTGATTACATAGTAGAATAGTAATCAAGGCAGAGCTTTGTTTATTCTTGAAATCTTTAATGGCGTAGTTTTACTTCTGCATTTTTTGTTGAGATGTTTTCAACTTGGTTCTTTCTAAATTCAAGTAAAATTTTAGCTTTCTGAAATTCGCTCAGACTTTTGTAGTGTAAAAGTATTTGGAGTCATCCTGTTGAATTTTGGATTACTCAATAAGTTTCGTAATTTCTGTTCATGCAGAGGATGGAATCTATCTTGCATACTCTGACTTCCATCCATACTTGCTTGAAGATTCATCCTGTACGAAGGAACTAAATCAATGGTTTTCTAAGCAACTGGACACGGTAAGAATATGTTTCGAAACTGTCATTGCAACTAAGAAAACTTGGCACTGCCATCTGACAATGTGGGATTAGAAATTAATTTTCTGATCGTTAAAGGAGTTTCCGTTAGCTCGGTCCAACACCATTCTGTATGCTTGTCCCTGACAAGTTATTTGATGCCTGAGGGGCTTATCAAACATGTCATTTGGAAACATACATTCTCCGTAAGAAATCCATAAAGCCCTGGTTGGTGAGGGACTATCAATCGATGTTGAACTCTGGAGCTAGTTCAATAAATAGACTTTTTTTGCTTATATTTGCTAGTAAAGGCCGTGAATGAGATTATATTTTTGTTTCTTTTGGTAGTTAGATTCCTGAGAATGCGTGGAATGGAAGTGAGTTCGTGGTTGTGAATGAAATTTTGAGTCTAGGCTTGTGAATATGTAAGGACAAATTATACTACAGTCATTAAAGATTTCAAGAATAAACAACGAGAGAAGCCTTTTCCTTGTTAAATAGGGAGAAAAATCAACGCAAATAAAGGAAATCTACAATGGCATAGATACAACAGTTTACTGTGGAGTTGACAGTGAAAATACTAGAAACTCTTTCTACTGGTATTTATGATGCCTGGAAGCACATGAAGTGATTCATACTTAGATTGCAAAGGTTTCATCTGGGACAGTAGATGAAATGAATAGAGGATTTCACCTTCTCAGTATTAGCCTGGCTTTATAATTGGTAAAGTAATTTTTAGTGTTCAAATTAGTCACTTCTAAAAGAAGACTGGATGGAAGAATAAGCCCAAATAAGCCTTAAATGCTTTATGTAAGTGGTGCTGGTGTAACAACTTTCAAACATGAAATAATCCTAGTCTTCTAGTCTCTTATTTACATATATTCAAGTGCTTGATGAACTTTTTGCTTGGCTCCCACATATGATTGCTACTTATTGTGCACGAGCTTTGATGGGCATGAGAGGGAGAAATAGAAGTAGTTTCCGATGGTTGTTACTTTTCTTGTCTAAGCATCTGAAAGTAGCATCAATTCTTGTTATCAGTTTGTCTGTGGCATAGTTTAGTCATGGATCGTTCATTTTGTGTTCTGCAGAAAAGAATTATATATTTTTGTGGCGTGCAGCACTCAGATTTTGGCTGGCTTTTCTTTGAAGCATGATGCTAGTGTTCATCCTCTTGTTTTGAATAAATATTTCAGGGTCCTTTTCGATTAGTTGCCGAGGATGGCAAATCCAAATGTTCGTGGGTGAGTCTTGATGATGCTTCAGATGTTTTAGTACGAGGTAATTTAGAAACGTTTTGAAGTGGTTGGGCCTTGGTGGAATTTCGTTTTTAGGCCATAAACTTAGGCTTGAGTTTATCTAAACGTTTTGGTCTTGACTTCAACATAACGATTATTTTGGGCCCAATTGGATCGCTGGCCCTACAACTATTGGGCTTGCATGGCACTGCCCACCCCATGATATCATAAATTGTGTATATGGTCTGATTTTCAATTAGTAAACTCGACATTTATCCTGTTCAATGTAGTATTTTGCCTTTTATTTTTAGAGTAATGAACTGCTGATATTCCTTTTTTGCTTTTACATTTCAACAGATTCAGAAAAGCCTCAGCATCAACGACTATCGGAATTGCAAAGGCTTCGTTCCATGTATGTGATCTTACTGTTAAGTTTGTAAAAAGCCCTCCTTCCCTTTGCAAAACTTCAACAGAAGCAAATGGGAGTGACTCAAAAACGGGACATGTCAGACAGTTCTTAAACATCTCTTTATACAATAAAGCAAAGTTGGAGGGGGATTTCAACCTTGAATTGTTGCTAAAAAATCTAATGAAATCTGACATATGATATTACATTCTATGATAATGATTTATTTTATAGTGCAAACAAAATTTGAATTTCTCCTCCTATATATTAATTTCGTAAAATGATTTGATTTCATAAACATTTTGCTTTCTCTCATATTTAAAAGTTTTTCACCTTTTTTTTTTCACATGCATGCATGCTATCTTTTGCTAGTAATCAGAAAGAGAAAATGAGGCTTATTTTATTGTTTCTTCCTTACTTGCGCAGATTTGGCACAAGTGAGAAGCAATGGGTTGAAGCCCAAGTTGAGAATGCTAAGCAGCAAGCTATTCTTGTGGCCCTAAAGACTCAGGTAACATCAGATGAAGCACACATACACCTCGATCTTCATTCTCTGAGGTGAGTTTTTAAAGTTCTTCCTGTATTTGGCTAAATTGAGTGAATTCTTGGCTTGTATGCATGGAAACTTTAACCCCTGCACTGAATGTGCCAAAAGGAAACTGTCAATAACGGAGAAGTTCCTTTTACATGTCCTTAAGAACTTGAAACCAATGAAGTGTCGTATATATCACGAACCTGTTAAATTCATGTCAAGGAGCAATCCCTCCTGTTGCCAACGTAACTTGTTCAGTTAAACAATAAGGTTACCTATGGCTTGTATGGAATACTCCTTATTTGTTATCCAGGGAGGATGAAAATATAATCTTAATACAAGTCCATCCGCTCTCTTTGATTTATGTTTGGAATTCATTAAAAATAAATCATGATTTCATTGTTTTGCACTTCAAGGAGACAGAATGAATTTGCAAAGGATGACCTTTTGTTGTCTACATACTCAGTGGTTGCCAATTCATTACTTTGTTGTATGTGCTGTAACAAAATTTTGTTGCCGAAATGTCTGATGCGGTGTCTGGATCTTGACTTTCCCTGTTTGATGACATTATATAATTTATCGAATTTCTCTCTAGAAGTAGGTTGCATGCAGAAAAGGTACTTTTCTCTGCATAAAGATTGTTCAATCCATAGTTTTGGGTATCTCACGGCTCTTGGAGCCTTTCAACACTGAATGAGATTAAGCTTGTTTGATAAACTTAATCAGCATTGACTTAATAGACATTAAGTCAAAAATCCACTTAATGTGGTAAGTAAGGGAGGGGATACAAATTAGTTGATGGCAACTAAAATTTTGCTATATATATTGCTAAACGCTATCAACAAGGGTCATTGTTCTATCTTTGGAAAGAACTTACAAGCAACTTTTTGTTTCTTTTTTCAGCACTTAAGATCATCAGCATTTAAGATTTGTTATTTAATCTTTTAGCACTTTTTTTCGGTTAAATCAAACAAGCCCTAAATGAAGGATGTCTCAGCCAATAATTGTAGGTCTTACACTGCAAACATTAATGTCTTTGTCATACTGTCGTCTGCAGAGAGTCCTTTGCTTCTTCTAAATTTTCCTGAAAGAAGCTATTTTTCTTTTAAACCATGCCAGGCTAGCACCACAAGTTTAGACTTGATTCTGGTTATTCTATTTTGTTTTGATAGTTTCTTATTTCTATTTTTGGTGCTAATAGCTGGCATATTGAGCAGGAGGAAGCATTCTGAGTTGGTGGGAGAAATTTCAAATCTTAGCCACAAAGAAGAAAAGTTGCTCTCTGAGGTATGTACTTCTCTGTGCCGCGTGATATCCTAATTTCTTCAACAAATGTACCCAAACTAATATTATGTGATCTGTTGACTGCTCATTGGCCATATCGAAAGCATGATTGTATCATTTTACTTTGTTGTTCTCGATCATTTTATGTTTTTGAGTCCGTTGCTACTAAAGTTTAAGCTCAAATGTCTTCAACTGTATCTTGTAGAACTTTTTGCAAGGGTTATGCTTCGAAGAATGGAACGAAAACCTTTAGTTTGCTTTTAATACAGATGACCAGTAATGATGGAAGGGAGATTTTATAGGATAAAATGTTTGAAACTTTTTGGTTTGTCTAGTTTTAGATGATAATTGTTTCATACAGTAGAGTTTAGTCATAATATTCTTTCAAAGTTCAAAAGATGATAGGAAGAATTTAAAAGGCATCATTTTAATGTTTTTAAAAGGCGTTCAAAATTTTTTTTGATTGTTTAGGAGTCATAAAACACCTACTACTGGATCAAGAGGTGATCCCGCGTGGCAGATGAACTTTGGACAAACTTTATGTAAAAGGACATAACATCTTTATAATGATATGTAAAACATAGACTTAATATCACCTTATAATGTCTTGGTTGGTTATTGGAGTTTGATCACTTCTTATCTGTCCATTTCTTTGTTTCTGCTTGTGAAAATTTTGATAGTTGATATATTCATGAGAAGATAAACACCTTTAAAGGCTCAAGAGTATCTGGTGATCTCGGTTTACATCGATTGATGGGGTTGAACTGGTTGGAATTACCATAATGTTCTGTCTGAGAAAGAACATATGCAAGCTATTCGTATCAAGCAATGGTATTTCAGGTGTGAAATGCTGTGAAAGGAGCACAATAATTGTACTCATGTCACGAACAAACTTGCAAGTCCAGAGGGCTGTTTTTTTGTTCTTGCGATGCTGTTTTTTGCTTATTTTTTAACCCCTTATTCTTTCCTCTTTCCTAGACAATTCCAAGTCTCTGCTGGGAGTTAGCTCAACTCCAAGATACATATATTTTGCAAGGTACTTCATCCATGTTTCCTCTTGAGAAAAATAAATCCTGTTTTTGGTTATAAAATATATGACTCTTATGTTCTTTCATACAATTATCTTATTTACGTAGGTGATTACGATTTGAAGGTCATGCGCCAGGAGTACTACATTAATCGGCAGAAGATGGTAAGCTTACCGACTTTACAGCTTTTTATACTGTTTTCAGCAGAAGCATTGCTACTGTTACTTTCACTTGGAAATATTGAATGTCCTTAAGTCTTCAAGTTCCTATGTTCTTTAGGTTGGTTGAGATTGCACCTATGCTTGAAATTCCCAGCCAAATGATCCTTCTGGCTGTCGAGATTATCTAGAAGTACTTGTTTTTCGTAAGCTTATTGTTTGCCATACCTTAAATGACATTGCTGCTGAGAAACGATTAATTTTCAATCTTTTAGACATGTCTTTTCAACTCGGTGTGAAATTTTTACTGCTGTCATACCGTACTAAAAACCATTAAAAGAACAGGGAAGAGAAAAATCGAATCTTGATTTTTGCAAGTACAACTACTGATATTTCTAGATCTGGATTCGACTTTGGCTCACAAGTCATGATTGACGTTTAATATTTATAAGAAAACTTATGCATTTCTTGTTGATGAGGATTTATTATCCTTCTCACCAAAAAGAGAAGTGAAGATAACTATGGAAGTGACGTCTTGTGGACAATTTTTGCAACAGAAGTAAACATTGAGTCTGATCATGACCTCAAACAACCAGGATGATTTTTGAAAGGCTCCTCATCACTTGTTGAGGTTTTTTAAATTTGTTTGTAGAAGAACTTTCTATTATGCATGATTATATAGCTCTAACCCTAGTGCAATCTTCTGGATAAATCGGCAGAACTTATACATGTACGTGAGATCGACCTACAGTAGTGAGGGTAAAAATGCGAAATGAACAAATTAGAAGGTGAAACAAGAGGTAAAGGGGAATGAAAAATCTTGGGAATTTTCATGAAAGAAGTTCCTTCTTGATGTTCTGAATCCGGAGATCTCATGTTGCCAGTAGATTTTTTCAGTGCTGTACTGTCTATCAATATGCTTAATCAAGTTGATTTTAGTTTAGATTAATAGGAAACAAGGTAGAGACTGTAGAATGAACAAATACGCTAGTGCACTGAAGGGTTCAAGACACTGCTTATAAATATTATTGTAGGTCAGAAGATTGGAATAGGTAAGTGATGGCCGCTGCCTACTTGTTGTGTCTTTTGTCCAGTTATGAAAACCTATTATATGTAAACCGACTGTCTAAGTGTGACGCTGACAATGAGAAAGATAGACTTTGTTTAACAGTGTTCAACACTCCTTCTGTTAAGCTTGTCTGATTTTTTTTGTCTCTCTGTGTGCTCATAATCACATATACTCTTTCGTTGTCTTTGGCAGTTCATACATCATCTCATTAATCAGCTTGCAAGGCACCAATTTCTGAAAATAGCTTGTCAGCTGGAAAAAAAGAACATGCTTGGAGCGTATTCACTGCTTAAGGTCATCGAGTCAGAACTGCAGGGGTTCTTCTCTTCGACCAAGGGACGAGTGGTATGTCAAGCTAGCAGTTCTTGTTGTTAGTCTCTCTTTCTCTCTGTGCACATGTTGCTTAAGTATGCTCAGCAGCAGGTTGTGGTTAATGTAGATCCCGATTGCCATTTGGGTTCTACGTTGCTTTTTACATCAGTCAATGTATATGCTACCTCAAAAAACAATATAGGATAAATTGTTTGAAGTTTTTAGGAGAAAACACTTTTGGTAATTTTTCAATCTAGTTGCTAAAAAATAGTTAGGACTGTCTTTGGCGCCCACTGAGATTATAGTAGCTAGTGCTCCTTAGATTTTTTTGAAGACGTAAGCTGCAGTTTTTCAAGTGATTTGTGGGACAGATTCTGACATATGGGAAGTGTCAGCTCGCTAAATCATGCAGTGTGTTAGATGTGAAGTTTCAAAGCTGGGTGATCTATGCCTAATTTCACTTTGATTCTCTTGGAAATCCCAGTTGGGTGATCTATGCCTAATTTCACTTTGATTCTCTTGGAAATCCCAGTCCTAGCTTCTGCTTAATAGTTTTGCTTGTTGTAGGATCGGTGCATGGCACTTATTCAAGCAGCTTCTGAAGTTCAAGAACAGGGAGCAGTGGATGATCGGGATACTTTTCTACATTGTGTTCGAGACCTACTAAGCATTTACTCAAGTATCCATTTATTCTTATGATCTGGTCCTCTTTTCAAGAAGTATTTATTACTTTTTTGTGATTGTTAGAGTAATGATATCGAAATCTTTTGTTTGCTCTTCTTATCCTAGATGCTCAAGTAGGGCTGTCAACATATGTCTCAGCTCCAGGCATTGTTCAGCAGATATCTGGTCTTCAGTCAGATCTCATGGCCTTAAAGTCTGACCTTGAGAATTCCCTCCCAGAGGAAAGGAATAAATGCATCAATGAGCTGTAAGTTCCAGGATGCTGCAGAGCTATGAACGCATGTTGAAATAGCTTATTCCTTTTCATGTCACCTCGTCTTACTAATCATAATCAGACTACTGGGTTCTGGTTAGTCCTCTGCTTGGCAACTGCGCGAATTACCATCATCCATCTTTTTAATTTGCTTATTTGTTGAGTTTCCTCGGTATTTTTTTTCTCCATGAATATTCATTACATGGATAGGAATATAAGGTGCTTTTTTAAGAAATAGAAAGATGCTAGTCATAAAAATGCTGGTAGGAAGTCTTGATATGTATGCTCTACTATAAGGAGTGATCCTTGCTTCTACATTTATGCTGGTGTTCCAAATCTGCACAAAATAGGCATTGTTCAACACCTTTCTTCCACAATTTAGTTTCCTACTCTGACAAGTGGCGTGAAGCAGAAGTAACGAAGTTGGCTAGAAATGCAGACTTGAAGTCCTGCCATTTCTTGTCTTATATGATAGCATGGATATCTGAACTCAAGTAATCCCCACGGATGCACACAAACCTGGCCATTTCTTTTCCTCATGGCATAGAGAAAAATGTGATTATTTGATTTTTTTTTTTGTTAACCAACCCTGTTAGGCCATTGTTGTTAAGGTCCTAGCTTGTCACTCTAAATATACTTTAACTTGATTAATATCGCTATTAAGGGTTTATAAATGTCACTAGTAATATATTGTTAGAACAAAAATGTTGTTGCCGTAAATGTTTATGTGAAGTTCTAGGGTTTGAGGTGATTATCAGTTCTTCTTAAAGACACTCTAACACCAATTTTGTGGTTTTGCAATTAGGCATTGTAGCTGTTTCGTTGCTTAGAATATTTGAAAAATGTTGGATGACATTTGAAATGTCAACAAAGTTTAGTCTTCTAAGGAAATGGTTCAGTTTGGAGAGAGACTCTGGTATGCTGATTAATATTGAGCAATTGCCATTGTGGCCTCCATATATGTTTTTTTTCTTACTCGAGATTCTTTACTTACAGGCGACATGTTAATAACACATAAGTGATTAATAAACGCAATGATGTTGAGTAAAATCTCGGTTGGTTTCATTTATTGTTTCCTTTATATGTTTCAGGTGCACCCTAATTCAAAATATGCAGCAATTGCTTTTTGCATCTTCAACAACTGCGCAACCAATTCTCACACCTCGGGTACATCCACCAGAGTCATCTTTTGCTGCGATCCACTGATCCCTCTCCCTAGTTCATCATAAGTTATCTAATAATATTTCTTGCCTACATCAGTTCATCGCATGTTAATCTTAAGTTTGCAATTGGTGGCGTATTCTAACTGCATATGGGTGCAGATGCTAAAATCTTAATGCCTGCTGATCTTTTCTTGGAGACTGGTTTCGGTACTCATGGGAATTTTGATATTATTTCAGCCACTGATGAAAGAGCTCGATGAGATGGAGAAGATTAATGCAAAACTAGCTGCTGCAGTTGAAGAGGTGACTCTTGAACACTGCAAAAAGATTGAGGTAATCTTAATCTTAATCCTCATTTCATTTGAATACTGAATAGTCACCATCCTATGTACTTGGTGACAATCTCCGTTTGTCTCTTTGTTCTGCTCCAATGTCTTTTTGTTAGTTTCACATGCTATGATATAACTTAGGATTAGATTGATCATGACATCTTTTCATCTGTGTAAAATTGAAATATGTATTTAAGTTTGGACAATACGTAAAATTGTATCCCCCATTCTTATGAATCTTCCTATTTTGAACAAAAAAGGGAAATCCTCGACTTGTATTATGTATTAATATAAACTACAGGGACACTATCTAATTGTCGTTGTTATATCATATAGGAAGAATATTGGGATTCATCAATCACATTGTTGTATAATAACGAGAGAAAAATAATAAATTTCATAAAGGAAATACTCAATAGGTGGAGTTACATTACTAATTTGCAGCATTAAAACTCCCTAAAACCAATTGTATTGAGTGAGACAATCACCTAGGAGGGGAAGGAATTCTAGTTGGAAGCAAGATGAGCGGAGAGTGCGAGAAAAGTTCTCCCTGCAAGGAGAATGATCATCATCTTGCATGTTAGAAGTTTAGAGTAGTGTTCACTAAGGACACTACTAGGAATTAGTACGTAGTATTGTGTGTGTATATATATAGATTTCCTTTTGAATTTCCAAAATTATGTTCGTCGTTTTTTTCTGCAGATTGTGAAACATCACACGCAGGAGGTCGAGCTCCAAAGACGGGTCTTCGTCGACTTCTTCTGCAATCCCGAGCGTCTGAGAAGCCAAGTCAGGGAACTGACCGCTCGAGTCAGAGCTCTTCAGGTGTCCTAGTACGCTCTTAGTTCTGCTGTGTATTTATACCTTTTCTCTTTTTTATAATGGAGACTCGGATATCTGTCGTTATTATTTTTTTTTGGGGAAAGCTTTGCGGTGAATATCGAATGCAGAACATTCGGTCACATAGCAAATGAGACCATCTGTTGTGTTGGTCACAGAGTTGTATAGATGTTCACATGTTGCTCACCCGTTTAAGGCCTTCAGATCCATTCCTTCAATCTCATCTCCAAGTTGCTCTTAAAAGGAAGTAGCATAGCATACCGCGTCCGAGAGATGTCGGTTGAACGAATTCACTAGATGAATCCACTTTCAACCAAGGAAAAACGAAAGATGCGCAATCCGTAATTCATTCTTGTTTCTGTCATTCATCCGTCGGAGCCGAGGCCAGATCAGGTCTACATGTGTATGCTCGGTGTTCTACGCGTCCCACTGCTTTGAAGTCCATGTTAATCCTAAGCCGCAAACTGATTGGGATCTGTAATTCTACCCTACAACACCGAGGGAGTAGTATAACACCACTCGTCCTAAGTCCAGGTCATACACTTCCCATTCATTACCTCACAAGCCTGTCAAGCCCACAAGCATGTGAGCGAAGTATTGCAATCAACTGAAACGCTGAACTCGCTTTTATAGCCGAATGACAATATCATTCTACCTTGAGATGATCTTTAGGACTAATGCAGACATTTATGCAGGGCTTATTCCTGAGTAACTGCACGTCTTTCTACCAACAGCCTCTGTTCCGAGCTAGAACTGGCTTTATGTAAACAGTTCACCCAACCCCAGGACTTTTAGTGAGATGAGCATGGAAAAGAAAGAACTGCAAAAGAATGAAAAGCTATTTACAAAAGCTGAGAAGGGTTCTAAAACCACCCTATCAAGCCTCACACCTCGTGCATTTAGCCTTTGCCCGAGAACTCGTGGGAATGTCCATCACATGAAGGACTTGGTGGTGGAGCGCCTACCGAATCTCGACAGCAGATGCGGGCTGCTGAACGAGCAGTGGCGGCGCCCGAACTTGGTCTCGGTTAAAGCAGGCCGTTCCGAGTTCATCGAGGATGGTTTGGTCGCTTGATTCTCTCGGTGGAGATGGCACCGGAAGGAGCCCGCGTGGCTTGTTGGGGAACAGATACATATCCTGTTGCTCGGCGGAGCAGCCGGTTTGCTATGCTCTTTCGATGCGTCCATCTTGGCGTATTTCTTGCGCTCTATGATTGCCTTGATCAAATCCTCACCATGATTGAGTGGACTCTTCATCTCTCTTGCCCTGTATGATGAAGTTGAAGATCATCAACTTAAAAAGGATGCACAGTCCAATTTAACTATTCATGCTGGGCATCCAACAAAGATTCGAACAGCGACACGTCCCGAGAGAGAGATTTGCGAGATCATGCAACTGGTCGAATCGTTTGAATCGGTCATGAGAAAAAAAAAACGAATGATGACCCAGTTCAATTCAAGCACAAGGATTTGAAAAGACGAACATCGTTTGCAGTAATGACCGGGTTGAGCCCAACGAAAATGGTACCGAGTGCTACTAAATAGATGGTTAGCAAAGAAAAAACCTAAAATAAAAAAAAGAATGCATGTAACTACGAATTACGAGAACTTGTATTCTTCCACATTTTGCCCAGAGGATGATCCGAGAGTAAAATGTACCTACCGGATAGATGATGGCAGCGGCTCTGAAGAGGAGTAGTCGTCTTCTTCTGAGTCGTGCGTCTGAGTCTGAGCAGGCATGACTCGCTTTCAGAGAGAGAGAGAGATAGGATCGAAGAAATAGATATTTCAAAAAAAAAAGAAAAAGAGGAAAAACTGTTGGAGAAGATGATGAGATCAAATCGAGGAAGTAGGATCTGGGCGTTGATACTGATGAGGAGAGCTAAGGATGGATCTCTTTTTGAAGTGAGGGAAAATCCCAAACCTCTCTCTCTGATATCTCTCGTGCGAGGTCGAGCCAATGGTCGATCAACACGACCATGCATGGCACGACAATGTCTCGCCACACGTGTAGCCTGTTCAAATCACTGGTACAGTAGCGACTCGAATTGGCAGATAATGGGACTTCTTGGATTTTCAGGAGGTAATTAGATTTTTATGAGGTTTTGCATCCCACGTCGTTAGCACCCATAATAAGGGTGCACGTGGAAATTTATATATATCATGCGTAGCTGTCTGACACCAAAAGATGCTAAAGTCCTCGACCGACGACTCGGACTAGGAGATGTCGAGCGCAGGATTATGCAAGAGTAAAATTTGCTAAGCGTTGAGAGCTTTTAATCGGCAAATATAGACAGTCGACAAGATGAATACATAGCTGCCGATATTAAAAGCTAAAGGAATTACTAGGTCCTGAGGTGTGGGTGTTGGTGTTGGTTGACAAGAGAGCCAAGACTAAAGTGATTCGCAATGGATTAGAAACTAGTCGGTTCTCCAAGTCGTAGAGCCAGTAACCTCGAGAACAGTCATGAAGATCAACACGGTTGTAAGACCAACACAATCATCAGATCATGGAGCTGCTAATTTTGGAAGCCACTAACTGAAGTGGCCGGGAATTATGGTTTGTCGTTAATTGTCATGAAGTGGAACCGCTGGAGTATTGTTGGTGATGGACACAATGTCGGAGTAGTCGGTTTGTTTAGTAACTGCTTGTAAAAACATGTTATTAAATTTTATAAGTTAACGTCGGATGTATTTGCTTTCTTTTGTAATTGTTGTTAATAGTGGCTAGTAGCTGTGATGGCTTGGATACGAAACATGTATTTTGAAATAACATGTATAATTATTAAGCCTTCTCTTAATAATTCTGGTTCTTGTTGGTGATTTGACCTAAATGCCAATTTCTAAACAAAAAAGCATATAGATATGTCCCTTGCAAATCGTCCCGTCCATGTGTAGCGATCAAAGCCCCTCCCGGTAAAGCGATGGGCAGATTAGACTGCGTGAGAGACAATGTTATCATGTTTTAGCGAAGACTTTTTTTCTTCTCTCTGGCTCCTAATCAAGTATTATCTGATGATCTGGTGGAAACAAAAGGAAGGGATCATTCCCTTTCTCTATTTTTCTGCATTCGCTTTTGCCCAATATAATGTGTTCTACCCCACCGCATTCGCATTCACCTAAAAAGGACTAAAGTTTCTTCCTTTTGCTAGTCCTCTGATAAGTCAAATTCTCAATCCATGTCTCCTTTCAAAAGAAAGCACCAGATAATATATGGCAAACACAGAAAGCAACCGAAATTTGCTAAAAGATTAAAGATACCCAATTGACAAAATCAATCATCCTCTCACATGGCAATTAGATGACAAACCACCATAACATGTCATCTTCCTCAACCAACAGCTTTCTCATCCCAATGCCCCACAAATTGGGAATTCAAATACAGCAGAACACAAACATACCAAAAAAAAAAAAAAAAAACATTTTTACCTATGTACTCTTAGATCATCTATATAATCATCCCTCATCCTCATAATCATCAATCATCATCATATATAAGATATATGTACTTGCTCCTATCAGACCCTTCTCTCTGTCCCAGCTTCATGAAGCACAGGTTGGCACCAAGCAGCATGACCAGAAGCTCCACCCTCTCTTCTGCAACCCAAAACAAAACAGTAATCATTAAAATGTCCAAAAGATAAGACTTTACATCATTTTCATCGAAATATTTTACACCCTTCTTTTGTGTAATTAAAATAAAGGAAGACGAGACAAAAATGAGAAAAGCTGGTAGAGAGTGGATGCCTTCTTGGGCTCGGCATAAAGGAGCTCGGGTGGGATTTTGTACAGGTCTTCATCGACTGGTTTTGGGGTTGGCCTCGATACAAAAGCAGGGCTCATAGGCTCCTTAAAGTCACTGGCCCAACTTTTCTCTTTCATTTCTTTGGCATCATGATTCGGGTCACCAACTTTTGCCTGCAATTATCACCATCCCACCACATCGTTTAGATAACATTATCTTGTCCCCTTGGTTATGATTACCATAATTGACTTTTTCTCTCGGTTGCTTCTAGTTTCCATAAATGAACCTCAAAAGAAACACTGTGGGTTCACCTAGTTTACCATGCCTAGTTATACAACAAATAGACTAGTTTATAGTCTAAGCCGAAGAAAAGAAATCGCAAAACCCGAGTTTATTACGCATATCATTAACTTTGTCCATCACATCATCGAGATAAAGAGATCCTCAAGCAGTATTTACACGAAATTACAACGATTTCACGTGTTTATAGAAGCATATATTGATGATCTAAGAAATGACAAGATCATCGCGAATTCAAAATAAACTAATCATGTTATGAAATGCTACGAACTGAGACATGAACACGAAGTATATAAACATGTCTATCTCAACGCAACTTTAGTGTTTCAAACTTTCACCTACGTAATAAATTGTCCAATCGGCCAGTTAACTTCCCAGCTGACTGATTTGAGCATGACAAGTACGTGAAGTAATTTAAGGGGAAAAAACCGATGAAATTTTCTGATCTTTCCCAAGACGTGATTCAGAAACCCTAGCTAGTCGAGCTTAGCCAAGCCAAGCCCTGGCCTGGAAGCAATCCTTTTCTCCTTTTTCTATAGCCTTTTCACTTTCCCCAAAAAGCGTGCGTTTCAACAGTTGATTTAAATAATTGAAGTTGTTCATACTGGGGAAAAACAAAAGAAAAAAGAGACCTGCATCAGCCCGTGGCCATGAGTATGCACGCTGCTGCAACGACCACAAAGGCCAAAGTCCATCATTTAGAAAGAACAGGAAAAAGAAAGAAGCAGAATAAGAAAAGTAAAGCGAAAGGAAAAAGGGGTTTTGCCCAGAAAAAAGATGATGGATCATCCACAAGAAAGAGTATATCCCAAGAAAGATCACTAGATTATGAGTCACCATGCAACAAACAGAATCTTAGCTATTCATTTCAGATTTGTTGTCTTTCACGTGAGCTCGTTTAACTAAATATTGGACCATTTTATCCACAGATAGTAATCCATATCGGGGCGGTAATTGGTAAACCAGAAAATGCATGTTAATACTAGGAAAAACAATAGGACGACGGTGGTCCGCGACTTTGTTAGCCGTCGCTACCGTGGGTTGCGGTGTTAGCGTTACTGACCCGTCGACGGCGGCGACGAGGGACGACGATCATGGCGGGAGTGACGACGTCGTTCTGGTAGAGGTCGCCGGCGACGTAGAGGTCGCGGTCGACGGAGTAAGAAGCGTAGCGGAGCAGCCCGGGTTGCCTCGCCGACGCCTCGTCGAAGCACTGGGTGAAGGGGAGGCCGTCGTAGCAGTCCCAGCTCCCGAACGCCGGGATGTGAAACCTGTTATAGTCCTGCATGCGCGCGCACACAGAGCATAAACCACGCGCAATGCACAACGCAGTTCAAGAACTCGGCAAGAGAGAGAGAGAGAGAGAAAGGAAGCGCTTGCTTACGTCCATTGGAGGCGGAAGAAGTTGCAGAGGGGGGGAGTCTTTTGGAAGAGACCTTGAGCTCAGTGAACCAGAAGAGAGAACTCGAGATTGGGTCTTCTTTTTCACTTGCTACTTTATGGTAGCAGGTGGGCACGGGAGGCTCTTTAAAAAGGCAAGAACTCGCAGAGAGAGAGAGAGAGAGAGAGCAGTAAGTTTGAAGCAGTGAGGTCAACAAGGGTTAAAATCGCTTTAACTTTACCGAATTCTCCATGCTCCCCAAGCTTTTTCAGCACCGTTACAATTGGGTACGCCTTTCACTAAAATCAGGCTAATCTTTTGACATCTAATCTAAATTAACCGACCGTGTGCCTGCCACGTCATCAGCTTGCTTGTATGTAAAATGGGTCGATTCTTCTATTAGGGTGAATCCATTGTTAAAAAATTGAAAAACTTAATACATTAGATGCTCAAGATTAAAGTTTGGTCACCCGATCGCAGAATTTACTGGATTTGAGTGAACCCGGATGGAAGTCACCCGATCGACAAATGAACTATGAACATGTTTCTTTTTTCCCTAGAATGAATGTTTTAAGTCACTCATTAAGTATGTTGTGTGAAGAAATTTTTTGATCTTGAATATATTGGTTGCATATATAATGTTTAAAAACAGGGTATTTTTTACCCATTCGGCCATTTAACAAGTAGTCCAAGTCACTCTTTTCACGAAATTCTTTAATTATTTACCTCAATCTAAAAGGCGACAAAACTTTTGAAGTGTGCGAAAACTGGCTCGAATACTATTAATTACTTTAAAAAGAAAAAAGCTTTTAAGGTGGGCATATTGTCTCGTCCTTACTTACCATGTGAGATTAAGGTGTAAGGAACCAGACCCCATGTTGTCTCGATTCGAGGGTGGATTAGTCCTAATTGTGGAATCGGTAAATAACTTTGTGATCACGACTCGAGAAACCTGTGATCAGGAACTAAACCGATCGGGTCCCTATTAGAATTAGCAAGCTTCTTAATTTTGCACAAGAGCTTATTGTAGAACGTAAAAACATTTACGTATTAAAAAAATAGAGTACACACCTTTTGTGTAAAATGTAAATAAAAATTTTACACAAGTGATTTACTTTTATTGTTTTAAACAAAATTCGTGAACTCGGAACCTATCTATTTAGATTGATTCCAAGAAGGTTCCAAATCTTGTAACATGGACTCTAATGGTTCTAGGTCGGTTCATACTTCTCGGATCCAAGAGTCGAACCGGTTCTCTCCAGAACAGCTTCATAATTGAATCGACCAAACGGGTCACGGACAGAATCGGACCCAGGCTCTCACCCCTACCTACGCTCCGAGCCTCACACTTCATAAAGAAACGATCCAATTTTTACACCAAGTCCTGAGAATTACTAATCAATGCCGGTGGGTGGGAGAGAGAGAGAGAGAGAGAGAGAGAGAGAGAGAGAAGGTGAATAAAGAAAGAGAAGCAGGTACAAAAGCAGAAGGTGAGTAGCAGCATTGAGGTAGGGGCCATAAGGAATGGGGGATGTGGGAAGCATTGAAGACACAGAATGGAGGAGATGGGGGGGGGGGGGTGGTAAAAAAGAGAGCAATAAAGGTAAACTGAACCGCCACCGATAACGAAGGTTCACAGAAGCAAACACAGCGACAGGTTGGTCATTAAGTCATGAGTGATCTTCATTTCCCACACAAGATCACACATCAGATACAGAGAGAGAGAGAGAGAGAGATGCTGTTGCTGTGTGAGAGGTTGCTTTCTCTTCCTCTTTTTGATGCTGTTCCATTATTCTGATATTCCACATCAGGCCTGCGACTGGTCCCTACCCTCTGATCTTTCCCCAACTTTCTTCCTTCTTTATCAGGAGAGGAGGGGAGGGGGTCTTTGCTTTTGCCCTAGTTTGTCGCTGACGATCCTGAAGTCCTGAAGTGGACGGGGGGGTGTCTCTGTGTTGTGTTTTATGTATATTCCCATGCATCATCAAGAAAGCAACCCAAGAATAAAGCCGCTTCTCTCTCTTCCTTCCTTTCTCTCCCTTTTGAGTTGAGGCTGGTTCTCCATTTCTCGAAGCAACCCGTTCCCTTCCGGAGCACTCTTCTTCTTCTTCTTCTTTTTGATGAGTAAATGTCACTAACGTTGGTTTACATAAGTGATTTCATTAGGTACTGTCAAGGATTTGTACATGTGAGCAGCCCGGAATGCTCTTGTGAAATGACCCTTTAAATCTTTTTTGACAGGGCAGAATGCGAGCTAGATAAATGAATAAACGGTTTAGGCATGGAAATTCTTTACATTTAGAGTTTCTTAAATCGAACATGTACCGTACGCCCATCCGGCACACACGTTCTTCGTTATCTAACGACGAAGCTAACTAATAGGGCTACATTTGCTATATCACTTTAACATAGGTTGCGTTAATGAATATTCCAAAGGACATTGTTAAATAGCTGTAGACACTCGATTTTGAACTAAGGTTTGATCAAATTTGACAGAAAAAATATTACTACATCAAAAGTTCAATCGAATGGTACTACTGAATGGTACTATTGTTTGTCCAATTGTAAGGGGTCGGGAAATTTCCAAAACACTAACTCATATGGCACACAAAGTCATGCCGAAGGTTGGAATGTCAAGGAAGACTTTTTTTATTACGTCATCGAAAAAATCAAAATTGCATCAGTGTTTTAGGAAATTATTTGATAATTGCATTCAACGGATCTAATTACAAAAAATGGTACTGAAAGAGCGTCGTGGAACATTAATTCCTCTCTTAAGTAACCGAACTACCGGACCACAATATCTAATATTTTTGCAAATAACCAATGCCTCCACATGTGCACCTACTTGTCCAATTAGCCGAAGTTTCTTAAAATTGGTCAGTGGCAACTCCATTGATGTAAATTTTGTTTCAAAATCTCGAGTTTTTCAAAACTTTCAAAACCCTTTTTTCCATCCTAGCCGCTTTCTCCTACGGCAAAACCCGACCCTGGAACAAGATGGACAGAGGCGCTACAACGACTGATTAGACAGATTCCCCAAAATACAATCGATATTTCTCGTATTCTCCATCAATCCATCCTTCCAAACTCAAGCCGTTCTTCCCAAAAACAAACTCGGGATTTCGCCAAGCAACCGGTGGAGGAGACTCTACAGTGACCAACATGTCGATTGCTGAACTATTAATTGCAATCACGGATTTTAGAAGAAAGGAAAGTCTCGTGCATCTCTTTTCTTGGTCCCGGTCGACACGCCATCCTATTGAACCCACTAGTCTCATGTCCAACACATAACCCGACATCATCATCATCTCCCTCCCCATTAATGCCCTCTCTTGCCCCCCATATCCGTTTTAACCCCAGAGAGAGAGAGAGAGAGAGAGAGAGGGGAGAGCTTCGTGCTCCGTGCCATGGCGCCATGTCCATTGGGGGTCGCCCTGTTCTGTTCTCTCTCGTCGACCGAAGCGACGACGAAAGCATGGAGCGAGCAGCTATTAGCTCGGAAGACGTGATTTAAATTCGATTTGGTACGGGGCGAAGTCAGACGGGCGCTGAGGTCAACAATTTCCTTTGTGTTTTTTTTATCTCGTTGCAGTTGTCATTTATTATTGTTCAAGTGCTGCTGATCGGTCGTTGTTCTGCTGCTGCTGCTGCAGCTGCCTGCGTTTGTTACCGTGCGCACACGCTGCGGTCCTCTCGCCTTAAAGAAAAAAGCTCGAGCCCTTGCAGCGACAAGGTCAGAGGAATGACTTGTCCCCTTCTCATTTACTACAACATTCCCTTTTTCCCTTTTCCTTTATTATTATCATCACCCCTTTATTTTTGTCTGGGAAATTATAATAATGATAATGATAATAATAACTGATCCTGCTTGCATGCTCGATTGGTTTTCATCGTTGTGTTTTCTTAGTAATTTCCTTAATTTTGATGATAATGTAATCTAATGCTTACCGTTGCTGATAATGAGGAGACGTGCCGGGGGTGTCTCTGTTGAGCTCAGAGCAAAGTGCGTTTGGTTAGTTAATTTAATGAGTCGGTTAATTTAGTTGTAGGCATAGGAGGTTGTCAGCAAAAAATTTATGTACCCGAAAAGAAAGATAAGGAAAGATAGTCCTTTTAAAATTGTATGTTAATGATCCTCGAACGACGTGGCACCACCACACTTCGACAAAAAAGTCCGTCGTGGTTGGAACTACGGAAGTTTATCTTTCTCACTCCGTTAATCGTGTATGAAAAGTGCATTACCGATATATAATTAATGTTTAATATCACGAAAAATATCAAATTAAAATATTTATAATAAATTTGCTCCAAAATTAATTTTTTTCTTACCAAAAATTCTAAACTGGTATATCTATAATAAATTTACCCTCCGTTAGTTTCTGTTAAATTTTATTGTTGAATTGCTTAGTTAAATGACACGTGACAGTTGACGGATGTACCAGTCTAAGGTTTTACCCTCCATTTGTTACAGGTGTATTGGTTTGTGATTTTTTTTGTATTAATCCAATTTAACTGATGGTAGATTTGTCACATATGTATTAGTTTGGAATTTTTGGTGGTCAAAAAATTAGTTTGGGTTAAATTCATCACACGTGTACTTATTTGTGATTTTTATTGTCAAAAAATTAGTTTTGGGTAAATTTGTCACAGGTGTATCAGTTTGGAGTTTTTCATGATATTAACCCTATAATTAAATCTAGCTAAGTCGAACTCGAGCAATACTCGACCGATCTCGAGTCGATTTTCGAGTATTGAGTATTCGAGCTGGATGGAGCTCGAGCCTAGAGGAGGGGTACAGGCTCGGGCTCAGCTCGACCGAGTTCCACGGTGGGTCCCGGTACTATCGACCACTCTGATTCAAATCTTAACAAAGAAAAGGAGAAAGGATGCATAGAACGTGAAGAAGCTCCAAGGGAGAGGCCTCTTTTTGGAGCTTCGGATAGCCAAATGGGGACGTGGGTGGGGGTTATTTTCTCTTTATTCCACTTCATTTGTACACTTGTGTGCCTTTGGGGGAGATTCAGTCCTCAACCCTGACTCACCGTACAATTCAAATGTCGATTCCACCATGATCATCCCTCATATAAAGCTCAAAAGAAGCTTACAACAAAGTGTTGCAGATGAGAATATGCAGGGCTAGCCTTTTGTCCTCGCATGGAGATATCAACTTCTCATGTTTTTGTTCTTGATTGAATATGCCACCCTGCGCAAAGTATTGATTCCCTTAGCACCAACCCTGCAAAAGAAAAAACAGAAGATTCCAATTAATGCTTCTTTGTTGTCTTTTGCTGTGATCCATTAAGGCCTACTTCACTAATAAAGATTAAGGAAAGCAGGGGATGGACACGAGCACGCGAAATAAATTATAAGTGGAGCTTCTTTTCACACTTCTTTCTTTCTTTACAAGAGAATCATTTCAGGTAGGTAAATTTGGCCTGGTGAATTACTCGTCACAGAGGGATTTGGACAGGGTTGAGAGTTACCCCAGATACTATTAGAATGTTCGGTTTAACGAGTTGGTAAAACACAAATTATCCACTGGACGATCCCCTTACCGCAAGGCCATCCGATGCAAGTGGGGTTGCCTCCATCTTTTTCTCAACAATGTCTTTGTCATTTGATCCAATAGCATTGTGAAATATCAAGTGCTTGTTGAACCCTGTGAAAATGATGATGAGCAATATCAGTCAGCCATAGATCCCCAGTTACTGGATCTAATCCTCCACGAAAAGTAAGCCATCTCTCCCTTCATCTTTTCTTTTCATCCTCACGTTCTTGAGTACATATATTTGTCCAAACGTCAAGGTTTGAACAATATTCAGCTCTAAAAATGGACTAATTGCATAATATTTTAACCTAAGGTGGCGAAGTAGACATCAGCAATTTGTTCGATTAAGGGGAGGGTGCGAAATCACCAGCACGATCGATGACTTGATAAGAGATGTAACCAAGTTTTTATTATCGAGGGCCTATATCGAATAACATCGACATAATCAATTAATCTAAACCCCGAAAGAACGAAAAAGCCGGCAACCAAAATAGAATTCCAATCAAAGACGAAAGAGATATCAATTAGACAATCCAGACCATGTAACTTCGCTCTCTGATTAGCAAGCCAAACTCGTGGATTAGCTATAATTGAACAAAAGTGAGAGGATAAGCTAGCAGATCCTCCTCATGGGCCTGAACCAATGGGCTTTTTATGGGCCAATTCAGTGAAAATGTCCCGTGAAAAGCCCAGTCATTTTCTTCAAACCAGAAGTACGTGGCCCTGGCCCGAGCACCAGTAATTTCATAAAGACAACTCTTGGCTCTGATTCGCATTTTGGACTTCACCGCTACTCGAAACTATACACAAAACAAGCCCCAAAAAATAATTTTAAACCTCACATTTTAGCTAAAGAAAATATTTTCTAAACCCATGCCTACCATTGATATGGACCCACCCTTTGTTATTATAAATTGAACAGGTGTTAATTATGTGGCGGACGAGAATTTTCATATTTTGAATTTAGATCCTCTAGTCCTGCCAAATGTTAGATTCAACTGCTTAAAAGATTCAAATCGATATTTCTATCCTTCTTTAGTCCTTACACATTTAATACAAAATTATTCTCTTTTTTTTTTTGCACACTCCCAAAAGTGTAATTTAAAAATGTGTCCCACTTGCGCATGGCCGAGTTGGTGGGCGCTTTCCTTCCCTCCACAGAGGTTCTGGGTTCGAATCCCCGCTCGGTTCCGTAATTTAAGTGGGGGGCTCTGGTGGTGGGTTGCTGGGCTAGTCTTCCCCGAGGTATAGACGCTCCGATTACCTATGCGGGCTCGTCCCCGGGGAATGGTGGCGGATCCTCGGTTACCAAAAAAAAAAAGTGTACGTTATTCTCCGGCGGAATCGAAAAGACATGGTAGCTTTTACTTGCTAAAAAAGCATCTAGTGCTAGTAAAGTATTGATCACCCGTAACAAAATGTTCAGTTTAAAAATTGCAGATTTTGCTGCACATCACTGCCTACTAGGCGAGCCCGTCACCCCACCCCAACCCAACTCCAATGTGAGTGGGAAGCTTAAGACCTGCGAAACACCTAAGCTTATGCCCGTCTTTCATGGATTTTTCCCAAGATCGAGGATAAAACGGGTTATGCTTCCAACCCTTCTTTTGGATCATAATTGGCGTTCAATACGCCAGACACAAGTATATTTTTTTGGGTTCTGCGACAAGTAACCAAATGCATCTGCAGATGTATGCAGTGAGATTCTACCGCTAACTTTGCAGACTAAAAAGATGAGTAAGCATCGTATTGTCCGAATAAAGTTGACTATTGTCTAATATAACGGATCATCAGCTATTCTTGAGCTTCAAGATTGTCACTACCACATAACACTTGCAGTCCACTGGCCCATTGCATGTGGAGCAAATCAATGTGTTCAAACTTTCACGAACAGTACTCAAGAAATCAGATGGATGTACGCGCGAAGGTCTGTAATCATGTTAGGGCAACGATCTCCATCATCCAGAACAGACGCGACAAAAGAAGCCAATAAACTGAGAACCACCAACTATATTTTCATAAGCCGACGTTACCAACCTAACGAGACAAACCCGGGAATCCGAACACATATGATCGGCCTCATCGAACCTTCAAGAATCACCGTCATCGCCTCTTTTGATGAGTCGCGTTTTCCCGACAAACAAGCCCCACCAGAGCAGTTGGCCATGGAAGCCTCATAGGAACGAACCAAAGCTTGGAATTACTCGCCCCCCGTGAACTCCGAATGCCTCCAAATTCCTCCTTCACGGGTCGTCCTTCTTTACGTCTGCGTCACAATAATGCACCCACCTTTTGCTCTCTATATAACCACATTGCAGACACATTTCTCCAACCACAAGTTCCACGAGCACCCTGCAAAACCACTCCTAAAAGATGGCCCCGGGTAAGTTGATGGTGGTGTTGGCGGTTGTAGTGTTTGTGGCCGTCGCATTGGCGGGAGGTTCGGAGGCGATAACGCTGTGCAAGATGAGCGATGATCAGCTGATGGCTTGCAAGCCAGCAGTGACGAACCCGAACCCAGCAGAGCCGACGACAGAGTGCTGCACGGGGCTCTCGGCGGCGGACCTGAGCTGCCTCTGCTCGTACAAGAACTCGGCCGTGTTGCCGGCTCTGGGGATCGATCCTAATCTCGCCATGGGGTTGCCTGCTAAGTGTGGTCTTACTCCTCCCGCCAACTGCTAAAGTACGAACTCTTTTCGTCACGCAAATGGCTACGATTGACTTGTTTTTCTTTGACGTGATTATACGCAAATAAATAAGAACACGACATGGCAAAGCAGTAACACGCGTGACGTCTCGTATAGGTTTTTAAAAGGCTTTTTTTTAAAGAAAGAGTATGATAAGCGAGGCCTTTCAATAGTCATTTGGGCTTTTAAAACGTAAAGCAGTAACACTCAGCCTATAAAGAGTTTTGGGTCTCGTGTTATCTAGGCCCAGGTATTAAAATCAGGAGCAGACCTTTTGAAATTGAATTTGGAACGTGAGATCCTCATGCTAGTGTCGGGTATCTTGCTTCCATGGCCTTGATAGATGGATGCATGGGCAATTCGACGTACTCTTTAAGCTTCGGCGCACGCAGGGACGATTGTAACCCATTTTTGCTACTTTGCAGGTTACGCAGGGGAGCCTCCATGAGTTAAATCTCAAAGACTGGTTGTAGAAAGTTCGCTCGTGTGGCTCGTCATTTTTCGACTCTGTTAGTGGACGCTTCCACTTTTATCTGTAGTCTAATTGTCTGCGTGCTCGCAAAGTGCTTGTTCTGATTGTCAGAAACTTGATCCCATTTTCATATTGTGCTTCCGCAGTTCTCATTGACCGACAGCGTTCGGTTCTCGAGTCAATGGAAACTTTGTTAAGAATGTATGTACATCCTAAGAAGACGACCCGTTTAGTGCTCTAGACACGCCGAAGCGCAAATGAATGAATAGCCGAACATGAAATGACGAAGCCATGGGAAACACGCCCTGAATTTTGAGCTCTTGATGAAATACGACTCGTCGTCCCCATGCTATGGGGACAATGTTTAGGGAGCTTATTACCCACACACGACTTTCCCCTGCAAATTGCGTGACCTGAAAGATCGATCGTCAAAAGGGGGAGGCAGAGCCTGGGGCGCGAGAGGGAGGCGGCATCACGAGGCTCCCGCCTCTCCCACGGAAGGGGGCCATATTATTGGGTCTTTCTCCTCGCATTGAAGTACGACGTTCGCCTTTTGACCCAAGACAAGCACTCTCCGTCCGAGGTCGTTTCGGGAACCCCCGCGGGCCCCACACATTCGTCCCAATCCATCCAAACCCTATCCCATGCTCCAGTACAAAAAGATTTTACCGAATCTTCGCAACCTTCTGATAAGGCGACGCGTGTCGACTACCGTACCGTATAAGTTCGGCGTACGCTTGCTACGTACCTTTTCAACCCGCCATCTCCTACAGTGGGGGGGTGGTGGTCCAGGCGAGTCTTCCCCCTCGCTGCAACCTTTTCACCCGAGTACACTGCCCGAGGCTTCCCACAGAGAGAGAAGCATCGAACCCCATTAAATATTTTCCCCCCCACCACCGCCACCACTAAAGGTGGTGTCCTAACCGCTTCTTATTACCATCGCCCCCCGCGATAGAATCAAACTTTATACATGTAAAGCGATCATAAAAATCGAACATCGAGGCACTCGCAATGAAACCTAAATAAAAAAAAGTCCATTCGAGCCCCCCCTCTTATCCGTAGAAACGTCCTCCACAAATACCCTTCTATCCAAAGTTGCATCATTCTTACTTAGCCCTCCTCTCTCTTTGAACATTTATTGCAGCCCTCCCACTACCAACGATAAAGCCCTACCCCTCCTCCACTAAGATGCACAAACGTCAACACGTAACGGGCTGATATCGACGACAAGAGAATGCATTCTTGTAGGTAGTAATTAAAAATCAGCAAAAGAAACCGTGCTCATCCCGGTCAATAAAACCGGCAGACGTAAGTTACTAAAGGGTGCAGAGAGAGAGAGAAGCGGATTTTCAAAATGAGCAGCAGGTAAAAATACCATGATGACCGTATCAACATATTCATTGCCCCCCTATTCATGACACCTAACCCCCCCTAATTCCTACCACCCTAGAGAAAGAAGCCTCTTTGTTCCCGGAAAAGAGAAGGGTCCCCACACACCCCCAACCAAAGACGATGGTTAGACGGAAAAGCAACCAACACATGAAACGGAGACGGCGACGCATATTAATACTGATAAAAAAAAGAGTAGAGCCTAGCACTGAGTGACTGAGTCCTTCATTATCCAAAGACGTTAAAACGACAAAACTTAACTACTGCTGCTCCGCCTCCTCTCCCCTCCTTCTTCATTCGGCCTCGGCGCACTTTTTGGCTGGGGAGCAGATGAGCCAGGTGAAGCCGTACGGGTCCTTGACCTCCCCGACGCGACCGCCACCGCAGCACGCATCCGCCTCGTCGGCTAGATCGCCCTCCGCCACAGCTCCGGCGGCCACAGCCTTCGCGACGGCGGCTTCCACGTCCTCGGTCTCCAGGCAGAGCACGCACCCGGCGCCAGCGTTCTTCACACTGCAAATAAGAAGATAATAATAATAATAATAATAATATATGCAAATTATTTCCAAGGACAAAAAAAGTCGGGACAAAAAAAAAAGTTCTCCAGCACAAGAGGAGGACAAGCGCAGAAGCCGGGACGAGGGTTTTATGGGACCACATTTACCCTAGAGGAGATAACGCACACGAAAAAGACTGTTGACAAAAATGTGGATCGGCGACCGAACGCTAAAGACACCAAAACGAGTGGGACCCATCAAACCATTTCCGTTCCAGATTTAGGCGTATATACACAATGACACCAGTGAGCACGGCATAAGAAAGCCCAAGGCTGAGCGAAATGTCATGTCCGTGAGTGTTCAACGGAAAACACGTACAGCAGAGAGGCTCAAGCATTAGGCCAACACAAGACGGAACTAAAGCGAGGGACATATTCCGGTATAAAATAAGGAGAAACTCAAGGTCCAACAGGTTCTCTAACTAACCGAAACGTCCTGACACAGAAGCAACTAGATGATGAACAAGATAGAACACGTGACTCCAAATAATCAGCCGAAGAAAAATAGCGAAGAAGCCGAAAAAGTCTCGGGAACAACATGGAGGTAGTGCAGGTTCTTCGAAGCACGATCTAGGGAAACAGGAGTACTCAAGCTATGCTCTCTGCAGTGAGAATAAGGCTTACGGAGCAGCTGAATCGTCCGTACAGTCCGAGACGAGGATGGTGGTGCCGGCGAGCGCGAGCTGGGCGGAGAGGACGAGTGGGAGCTCCTGCTCGGCCTTGCGCTTGGGGTAGAAGGTGCGGCCGAGCTCCTCGGCACCGAACGCGGACTTGTAGAACTCGATGGCGTCGCCGGCCTTGGGGGCCTCCACCGCCAGCCGCGGCTTCACCGCCGTGAACACGACGGCTTTCTTGGCCGCTCCGCCGTTCAGGACCTCCTGCTGCGCCATCGGAGAGGGGAACGAGGGTTCCGAGAACAGGGACGAAGAGGAAAACCGGAAAAACCCTAGGAGAGAGAAAGAAAGCTAAGGAGTTAGAGAGAGAGAGAAACAGAGGCGAATGGATAAATGCAGTTGGCGAGAGTCCACAGTGATGGTATTTATAGAAGCGCGGGGAAGCTGAACCGTTTGGTGCCTTTTCCGGTGCGAGGGGCAAAATGGGGAACGTGACGTTGAAATATTCTGGGGATGACCCTGGTGTTTTCGCTTAATTACAGAAATGTCCCAGCTTTTCTCGGTAATCGCGTGTCGTGGCTCATGAGAAACGTGCTGTCCGCGTTAGCAGGATTTTACACAAAATAATCAGTTGTAATTACCGACCAATGGGTGCTTAATCAGTGATATGTGTCCTTTATTTTTAGAAACGAGCATAAGGAAATACTGCATAAATGGGTCGACATCGTATTAGGCTCTAATTTACCCACTGAAACAGATAACTTCCAGAATTTATAACTAAGGCGGTCCGTAATTCAGAGGGTGGATAATCTTGTAATTAGATACATCGTGGCACTCCCTTTCTACCATGGCGCCATGGTTTTTTTTTTTTGTCTATCCTACTACCATAACTCTCAGCTCATTTTCAAATTTTTGTCATGCCTCTTTGCAAAGAACGTAGGAGTCGAAATCCCATTTGAAACTAAATGTCCCCATCCATAGATCCTCCAGAGAAGATGGAGAATCGAACTCCCCATCTTTCCATTTCCAACTATAAAAAGTGGCCACTGGAGCAGACCCAGTGGTTCCATGGTGCCATGGTTGGCTTCGCAGGTATTTGCTTCCTACGGTGAGTGTACTGTGATTAAGAATAAGTGGCAATGATTGAGATTTGAGTAGCTACTTTCTCTAGAGACAAAATTTTTTTTCTAGAGAACTTCGGTCCGTTTCACTTCGAGAACATTCCTTAGTGTCTCGTTGTGGTGTGATGGGTTCCAAATACGTCGTGGGTCTTACCCTCTCCAGTGCTCCTTTTCTTCATAAAATTTTTATAACCATCAAAGCATTCGAGTGAATTTTCAATGATTACGCGCTTAAGTCTCTATAACGTTGGAGATTGCGTTTAAGTTCCAACAATTAGGCCACCACACTAGAAGATTTCCGTTGGTGAAACGAGAAACCTTTAATTCATTAGCCATTGTGATTTTTTTTTCTATTAAACCTCCAACGTTTTCACTGCATGGATTAGTATTCACGATATAAGCATCATTGCTCCCAAACCTTTTCAAATTGTTCTCTAGGGAAAAACTCATTCCCCGATAGACATACTCCAAATGAATTCAATCAATGCGGAAAAACGTACCCAATGATCATCAACTTGTATCACCAATCGTACATGCATATTACATAACAAATATATCCGGAATTATCACAGATTAAATACCATTTTGCGCTTGAGAGTAGGGCTGTCAATAAAGCCCGGCCCGCCCCGGACCGACCCAGTCCAGCCCCGAAATTTAGGGCTTCTTCGGGGCGAGCCTCCTCTGGGTCGAGAATAGTTTTAAATTTTGAATATTATCTTTATTTCGGGCTGGGTCGGTCCGGGCCAGGCTTTTTTGACAGCCAGCCCGTGACTTAAAAAACCCTAGCGCATCCTCCTCCTCCTCCTCTTCTCTTCCCTCTTCTTCTTCTCTTCGCCTCTTCTTCTTCCTCCTCCTCCTCCTTCACCAGACCATCGCAGCCTCTCTCTCTCTCTCTCTCTCTCTCTCTCTCTCTCTCTCTCTCTCTCTCTCTCTCTCTCTCTCTCTCTCTCACCATGGCGGAGTAGACCGAGTCAGAGGAGGACCGGTGCGGCTTTATGGCCAGGGCGTCGGCTGGAGCTGCTGCTCATCGAGCTACGACCGATCGAAGAACACGCACGCATCTTTCTGCGCAACTCGAGCCAGATGAGAGAGAGACAGAGAGAGAGATTACCTTAGATGTGGAGGCGGAGGAGCTGCAGACCAGCAAGCTGGAGTCGTCGAGCCCGTCGGCGGTGCCGGAGGAGGAGGCGGTCCCGGCGCTCCACGAGAGCGGGGTCGTGGGGCTGTTCCTCACCGAGTCGCCGCACCTCTTCGCCGGCGACACGGCATCGCACCAGAATGAGGACCCTTCGATCGCGGCTGCCGGATCCCCAACCCCGGCAGCGGCAGGAGGGACGCCGCCGCCGAGGAGGGGGGAGCGGATGCGGCGTGGTGGTGGTGGGGATCCCGCCTGAGGCGCATCAGGAGCTCGGCCACCATCCTGTCCTCCGCCATCGGCGTCCTCACCCACCCGTCCTTCGCGCCATTGCCGCCGGCGGCCGAGAACCCAATTTACCCACCTCCTCCTCGCTCGGGGAGGCGCCACCTCCAAGACCGCCGTCCTCTCCCTCCGGCGACTCCCCACCTCCTCCTTCTCCCCAACCGCAAACCTCGAAACCCGAACCGACCCGGATTTTCGCTTCGGGTTCTATGCGTTTTGGGTCGGGTCAGGTCAGAGAAAGCATGCGCCCCTCGTGATTCAGGTCGGGTCGGGTATCATAGAAACCCGACCCGACCCGACCTATTGATACCCTTACTTGAGAGTGTCCTTCAATCGTCTTTTGTACCCACTTGCGTTCCGAAAGAAAGACAGATAAGACGTTACTTTCGAAGATGTGTGTTGTTATGCATATAAAAATCACTTTAGTTTTTTCCAAAGGGTGCCTACTATTTATAGTAAGAGGCAAATAACCACATTGTGGACATTTGTAGTTCATGGGCCAGGTTTGGCCCACCATAGGCGGTCCACCCATTATGCCTTCCAGTTCAATTGAAGCTTGGATTTTCTTTTGTGCAATCGAAATTCTTGAAGTGTGTATACATATCGAGTTGGTCCTTTTGTTAAAATTAAAACGGAAATGTCGACGTGAAGTGACACATTCGCACCACGTCAACACTGAGCAGACAAATATCTACTTACATGGAATTTTCATGTGTTGATTGGAGACAATATTGTAATCTTTTTAGACAAAACCAAACCCTAAGAGAGAGAGAGAGAGAGAGAGAGAGAGAGAGAGAGAGAGAGAGAGGCATGAAGAGATTGCAGGGGGTTGGTTCCGCCCACACACAGATGAGGGCCGCCAAGCCCTGGCTAGCCTTTGTCAAGTTAGGCAACCTTACACGATGGTTGATGGGGATTGCAATTTTGATAGAAAGACCAAATAACAAAAAAACATACTTATAGTTAGGAACCCAATTATATAAAAAAAAAAAAGAGTTCACGAATCAGGTTGAAATAATTGAAAAAGTCAAAAAATCTTGAATTTTAATTCAATGTACAACGTGATTCTTAAATTTTTAATTTGTCTAATATAGTCCCTAATTCAAACATTTAGCAGAAGTTTAGGGAGTACATTAAACGAATTAAAATTTTAGGGATCATTTGTATAATTATTTATTGGTAAAAAGTCTATGAAAAAAATTATAATATATATTTTAAAAGTATAGTTGAAACGATAAGAAAGCCGTCTTAGCTCAGCTGGTAGAGCGCATGGCTTTTAACCATGTGGTCGTGGGTTCGATTCCCACAGACGGCGCGACCGTCTCCCGATTATCTTTTTCCTTTTCAAGAAAATACTTTTTGATTATCTGATTTTTTTTTCCCGATTATCTTTTTCTTTTTCAAGAAAATACTTTTTGATTATCTGATTTTTTTTCCCGATTATCTTTTTCTTTTTCAAGAAAATACTTTTCATTATTTGATTTTTTTCCTTTTCGCACGCTCGAAAAGCAGCCCCCAAAACCCCCCCTTACCTTTCCATATCGACAAGCTCCAAAGAAAAATGGCGCTACTGAGCGCGCTCCTCCTTCCCACCTCGCTTCACCCTTCTCCCTCCCCGAAGCCAACCACTCCTCTCCCTCCTCGTCTCTCCTCACTTCATCCGCAACCGCAGCTTCCTCTCCCCCGCCGCCGCCGCCGCCGCCGCCTTCTTCTCAACCGGCCGGCCGAGAAGGGCCGGCTCCGGTGCACGTCCGGTGGCTCCTACGAGGTCGGGGGGGCGTACCCGGATGAGGAGCTCGACCGGCGAGACCGATCGGGGACGACCCAGCAAGCGAGTCAGAAGGTGGACAGCGCCCAGTACGAGGCCCTCCTCAAAGGGGGCGAGCAAGTCACCTCCGTCCTCCAAGAAATGATCACCCTCGTAAGTTCGGTCTCGATGCACCGGGCGAATCGCGGTGCGTTTTGGCTGGTTGAGGCTTTTGCTCGAACGAATAGACGATGTACTGATGTTGGTCTGTTTTAGTCTGTTTGTTTTTCTCTCTTTTTTATGATACAATTTTGCACGCGGCTCGGTTATTGGAGGTGTTTTCTAGCTTTTCGATAATGAAGTTGAAGGGTCCTCGCATCGCCCTTTCTTCATTGGTTTCCTTGCGTCTGAAATTTGCTGCAGACAGCTTGTTATGATAGAACAGGAACAAAGCTCGCTAACCAATTAGTGAGTAGATGATAAGCTAGTGACATTGCTCCTGTATTACATACTCAATCACCAAGCCTGTACCTGGTTGCGAGAATTCACTTCTATAATTCATCCGAATGCTTTATGGTTATGCAGATTAAGAACCCAATTTCTGGTTGGGGTGTTTGGGGATGGTGGGAAGAGAAGTGAGATAAGAGAGTTTGCTTGAATTTTTTATTTGAACCAAAAGCATGTTCTTATATTTCACTTGAAAACTTTGTCGAGCATTTGGCGGCGAGAGCAGCTGCACCAATTGTGGGCTTGTGGGTCTGTCTGCCAATGCAAGTCTTATTGTTCCTTTTCATTTTGTTCTTCCTTTTGCAGATTTTGTTGGTAATATGTATCTTCTCCAACTTTTAGTATTTCTGGGTGATACTCTTTTTTCTTCTCATGGTCACTTGTGGAACAAAACGGCCTGCTGGGGACAGCTGCCCTCAGTTCCCGGTGTTTGATAACATTTTTGTGTTATTCTCAGCATAGATTGCACCTCAAAGGTTCATGTACAATTTCTTGTGCTATGTCCCAATCCAACAATTGCGGCTCTTTTATATTTGAATATTGTGCTAATTAAAGATTAGGGTGCTTGCTTAAACCTGGTCTCTGATGTCTGCTGGTGGGTGCAGTTGGAAGGTATGAAGATGGATGAAGCATCTGAGAAGGTTGCTGTAGAATTGGCTGCACAAGGAGTCATTGGAAAAAGAGTCGATGAGATGGAACCAGGGTTTATGATGGCCTTGGACTACATGATCCAACTTGCTGAAAAGGACCAGGATGATGAGGTACTACTTGAGCATCTGAGCATCGGAATGATACGCATTTAACTGTGTCGAGATACATCTTCTGCTGTTTTCTGCATCGTGTATTCGTGTGCCAAATATTGTTTAATTGTTAGAGTTGCCTAGTCCTAGTTGTTTATTAGTCCACTATGTGAGGAGCCTTCCATTTATATCAACCACATTAAGGGAGAATTTATGGTCTCTTACTGGCATTTCTCCCCTTTTAATGGTTCTGATGATGGCACGATCTCTTATAGCCTGTAATAGTACTATGGAATCAACTATCTAGCAGCAACCTTTTGACTGATTCTAATTGCTTTTCTACAGCGTAAGTCTCTATTAGAGGTGATCAAGGAGACTGTGCTAGCTCATCTAACAAAGAAATGCCCCCCACATGTAAGGATGTTCCTTAACTCGAGAGTATTTGTTGTTCTGCAAATGTCAAAGCCTGATATTTCTGCTTTTCTCTCTAGGTTCAAGTGATTGGCTTGCTTTGTAGAACACCGCAGAAGGAAAGCAGACACGAACTTTTGCGCAGGGTGGCTGCTGGTGGCGGGGCGTTTAAAGGTGAAGATGGCACCAAAGTTCATATTCCCGGGGCAAACCTAAATGATATTGCAAATCAGGCTGATGATTTGCTGGAGGTAAATAGCAGAAGGAGACAAAGCCTTCTTAACTTTTTTTAATTTTGAAGGATTATGTATGCAAGGTCATATTCCCGGGGCAAACATAGTCCATGGAAGGATTGTGTCTAACGTTTCTCTCAGCTTATCTTTAATACAATATCCGTTACACAATGCCCTGCATACATAATCTTTCCATGGACACTTAAGGTGACCAAGAAATACTTTTTTATCTTCTTTTAATGCATTTGGAACACTTCATTCCAATTAATGCTGGGTCAGTGGTAGATATCATGTTGTATTGCTGGTAAGGCAGAAGGCACAAAGCCAAGACTTTCTTTCGGAATTTATAATACTTGCATCAGATTTGCATGGAACTTGTCGTCTTGCTATGCCTCGAGATCATTCTTGTACAACTACTTTAGGTGAATATGCTTTGCGTACTGTTATCTCGTGCCTATTCATGAATGACTTCTCCGCCAATATTCACAGACAATGGAAACTCGGGATGTTGTTCCTGACAGAAAATTACTTGCAAGGCTGGTGTTGATAAGAGAAGAGGCAAGGAATATGATGGGTGGAGGAATACTGGATGAAAGAAATGATCGTGGCTTTAGTACTCTCCCTGAATCAGAGGTCTGTTAATTGATACACTTAATGTTATTGTAAAGTACGTCATGACCACTCTCTCTGCTTATATAAAGTTTTATTTGATTTTTTGTTTGGTCAGAAAAAAGTTATAGTTGATTTTCTGCTACTTTTTTTTGCTTTTGTACTTCTATCATGTAACCGCTCTTGTTTTTCTTGTCCCACATGGTGGCTCTGGCAATTGGCATGGCGCTCGATTACTTCTTTGCAGGTGAACTTCTTAACCAAGATTGTAGCATTGAAACCAGGAAAAACTGTACAGGAGATGATAAAGAATGTAATGGAAGGAAAAGATGATGGTGCAGATAATAGTCTAGAAGAAAATAGCAGTGAAAAACCTTCAGGTGGCATCGCCGGAAGGGTGAGGTTCACTCTTCTTATTTTAAAGAGGAAAGTTTGGCTGCTAACATCTGGTTCTAAAGTATAAATTCTGATATCCCAGGCAAGTCTTTCTGGACGCAGACCACTTCCTGTACGGCCTGGCATGTTTCTAGAGACTGTCACTAAGGTACAAGTTAATTCTTGAGTACTTGGTCATCATATTAGAAAGCAAATTAAGTCGAGCTTACTATAATTTTAGAAAGACTGGTGGGCTAGACAAGCTTGAGAAACATCTCTTTATTTACTGATATAATTTTATGAAAATTTCTCAAAAGCTTGAGGGAAGGCACCGAAGACGCTAAGCTTGTCGCAGAAGCATCTTCACAAAGCTAGACTATACTGGGATCAATGTCAATTCTGTCACTGACCTGAGCGTTTCCTTTAATTTCAGGTGTTAGGTGGTATATATTCCGGCAATGTGTCTGGCATCACAGCCCAGCACTTAGAATGGGTAATATTTTAGTGTATTGATATCCTTTTTCACTGGTCAGAAAGAAAAGAAATCCGCGCCCCCCCCCTCTCTCTCTCTCTCTCTCTCTCTCTCTCAATTGTGATGGATTCTCAGAATTTGCTTTTATTGCTTGATCAACTTAATGGACCTTTTTAACTCTTACATCTTTTTTTCTTGGAAAATTTTGTAAAGCTTGTGTCAGTTCAATCCCTCGTGTGTTCTCAAAACCCAACCAGTATGAGTAGAAATAATAAATTAGCACCGCTTATTGGAGTGTGGTCACACTCTGAGTGGCCATAATTTTACTTAAGATTCATTTCCTGATTTGGCTTTTGAAATAACTTTTCTCGTTTTTGTGTACTTCCTGCTAATGCCAGTTGCCTCTTTTCTCTCATCTAGGTTCATCAGAAGACACTTCAAGTTCTTCAGGAAATAGCATTTTAGAGAGCCTCAAGGTATGTAGCTGATTTTCTGTTTCAATAATTTTTGTTCATCTCAATTCTCAATATAGTCTGAATCGTGTAGAAGTATTAGTAGCGCCATCGTATGTTGTGTTAATGATTCCAGGTTGAGTGCCGTTTTGTAGCTTATTCGATCTTTACTCATGACATGTATACTTGGCCATGAAATGTTGTCCCTAATGGGGCAGAAATACTCGATTACACCTTTTCCTTACCTTTTTTACTAATAAGAAGGACATGAATTGCTGCTTCTAGCTGGGCAGAGTACTGACTACTCAGTGATAGCTTTTCACGTCTTGTCTTGTCATAACGAGTGCCAGAAATCTCTATCCCGTTGCTCATAATATAACTGCACCAGTTCTCATGAAGTACTGTCCATGTGCTAGCATGTTTCTTAGACTCTTGCGTTCTTGCTTTGATTTATATCTTATAAATTGCAGCACGATGACTTAATTAACTGGCCTAATTGGCTCGAGTTTTGGAAGAACCGCTGCTTTCCGGGTCGAAGAGCAATGAACAAGTCAAGAACATGGCATTGGAACTGTAACATGTCAAATCAGAAGAAGCGGTTTAAACTCACAACTTGCTGTGGCGCTCATCTGTTTCCCCCAAGCTTTATATGTTCATAGCCACAGATGTCATCGATTCTTGAAGCGCCCTGTGCCGGTATAATCAGATAGTTACCCTTGACTGGTTTGTCCTTCCAAATAAAGTTTCTTGCTAGTGCTTTCAAGCCAAGTTTGTTTCCACCATATGTCAATGGTTGCGCTTAAAACACGGAAATCATCTTCTTTCTTTTCTCTCATGTTCATTCCGCTTGACATCACATCACACGAGTTCTGTACTGGTGGTGTTGCTAAGCAGTTTCTACTACGACGAATTCATCCAATTTTTGTTGTATAGTGATTTGGTACTACAAGTGGCAAATTTCGGGTTTGGTTCGACTGTGGTTAATAACTTGAATGATCACAACGTTCTAGGAATTCCCCGAACCGGTTCAAGAAAGTTTGTGGGTGAATTTCTTAGAGTGAAAGGAAGAGAAAGATGTCGGTAGAAATCTGGATTGAAACTGACTTAAGGCGGAGGGCATTTGCTTTTGTCTCTTTGGTGTTGTCAAAAAGTTGTTCGCAGGTTGTTTCCGAGGATATACGGCAAAGGGTCTGAAATCGACTCCTGAACATTTTTTCCAAGTCAAGTTGACTTCGCCATCGCCGGCGGTGCAGACGACGCCATTTTGTCTTTTCAACTGCAATGGGCCTTGTGCTTGAAATTGAAACTACTATCTGATTAATGAAGGCGCGTTCCTGAGATTATAATAAGACCCCGGATTTGGACATTGATTCCATAACTAGAAGCTTCTAATAGATTAGTTAGAACTAAAACGTCGTTTTATTGGCCCCGTATAAAAATATGCTAGTTAAATTAGAAAGTCTTGCGATGTACGTTTTAGGTTCAACGTCCTTATCACAATTGCCGTGCCTAAATACCAATATTAATATGTTTAAAAAAACATATATCAAATACATGTAAGGAACTTCCATATCTATATCTAGATCTAGTTTGGGAGAATAAAACCCCCATATCTAAACCTAAATCTAAATCGGGATAAGAGAGTGGCTTAATCTTGGAGAGATTGTGGAGCCATGTCATGAATATTCTCTTCGATGGCTGTTGATTGGCCGAACTAGTCTCCACATTTACTTAAGATCAGCTGCAGAAATTTATTCACACACACAAACTCTCAAAACAAATCGGGAGAGAAAAGAAAAGACAATCAAACCAAAGAAAAGAAAAACCAAAAACTTAGTAGGCTCTGAAGATGAGAGCCTACAGGAGAGCTTCAAAAGAGGGAAGAGTTTTTGGGAGATGAGGGGGCTTACCGACAGAGAGAGAGAGAGAGAAGAATGAAACCCTAGCTCACTTGGACTTGCTTTGTTTAGATGGCAAAATATCACTTGGGTCATTCATTTTTTGTTCTTTTTTTAATTGGATGACAAGTGTCGGGGAAGAATAGGGAGTGTAAGCGAATATCTCGTCAATGAAGCGTGAAAACATGTTTATAAGTCTTTCCCTATGTCCGTAAACGACTAATAATCATTACTTAAACATCAAAGAAGCTTAGATGAGAGAACATGCTCTTGTATCGCTTTTTGTTTAAGAAGAAACCTCAAAAACGACGGGACGTAATTAATTGTGACATGTTCACTAAAAAGAAACCCTTTTAAGTGCAAATGCTAAGCTCAAATTCATTAGATTCACAATATAGAGCGAAATTGTGTATCTCTCTTGAAATCTTAGACCTCCAAGAAAAATATAACAAAAACAAAAAGGAAAAAAGAAACAGAAAAAGGGAATGGCATTTGCAAATTCTTAGACATGAAAGATAAATTTTACGGTTCTCCAATAATTTAAGCTTTTAAAGCAAACAAGAAAGCACCGAATTTTAACACGATATTAAAGTTAAGAGATCTCTAGCCGGATATTCGACTCGTTTTGTAACTGATATGCTCGAAAAACACCCCTTTCATGCTGGAGATAATTATTAGTCTATCAAAGATAATTAAGAATGCACTAATCTATTCATGCCTCAACTGCTAAGAGGGCTGGCTATTGGAGCCCGAGTTTTAATTAAAGCATAAGTAAATAGGAGCACAACCTCGAGCACAAAAAGTTGGTTCAGGGGTCTCCATTAGATGACACATTGACACCTGTGGCTGAGTCAGAAGGAGGGGCGAGGGGGCAGATTAGAACTGGTGGTCCTAAAGCGAGCATGGAATTAATTGGAGGAGGAGGAGGAGGAGGGGTGGCCACGCCTTCTTTTCGCTTATTTATCTCCCACACTAACCCTCATTATGAGTTGGTTAAAGAGTCTAATCTCCCCCAAAGGCTCCCCATCCTCTGTGTGTATGTCGATTCGCCAGCAACCCAGGCCCACCATGTTCTTGCTTTTCTCCATTGAAGGAAAGAAAGACCCCTTTTAAGAAAAAATAAGCAGCGCTTTGCATCGAGGGAGGGACTCTCTTCTTTCCCCCCGTGTTCTTGTCAAGAGCTCAACTAATCAAATTGGATTTCTTTTTTCTTTTGCAGAAAAGGGCATGTCCCCGATTTCTTCGTTAAGTAACTCAATGAGGATACGCTGTGATTTTCGATGCACTGGCTGTTTCTTGTGATATGTATAGTCGGGTTTCGTTTATTTCGCGAAAAATGAATAATTCGAAAAATATTTTCTTTAAAATGATTACTTGGATCACTTCGAATAATTAGCCATTTTTTGTTGTCGACAGCAATGAAGGAAGCAAGCTAGGCCCACCATGTTCTTCTTGCTTTCTCCGTTGAAGGAAGGAAAGACCCCTTTTTAGAAAAAAAATCAGCACTTTGCATCGAGGGAGGGACTCTCATTAGTCTCTTGTCCCCATGTTCTTTTTAAGAGCTTACCTAATCAAGTTGGATTTTATTTTTATTTTTGTAGAAAAGGGCATGTCTCCAATTTCTTGTTAAGTAACTAAATAAGGATACGCTATAGTTTTCGATGCATCGACCGTTCTTGTGATATGGATAGCCGATGTATCGATAATTTGGATATTTAGCTGATAAATATGTTTTCTAAACAGGAAGAACTTACGTGTTATAACAGAACTGCTGAAGTTGCAAGAATTTATGGAAATCCGTACCTAACAGTTGAGTTTGATTTCTAATCTGTGCTATCTAGTGGACAACTACAAGGATATTATATTTTCATGCAAACACTAAGGCTCCGTTTGTTTCGTGAAGAATGAACGATTTGGAAAATATTTTCCTAAAAATAATCTCTTATATTGCTCACAAAGACGAATGGCTGAATAAATATTTTCATTATCCACAAAAATGTTTAAATATATATTGTTGTCGATAATGAAAATATTTTCTATTGACTAATTATTTCAAGCGATACAAGTGATCGCTTTTTGGAAAATGTTATCCAAATAATTTATTTTTCGCAAAACAAACAGAGCCCAGATGAAAATTTTGGGCATGTAAATAAAACTCGATACATTAAATCGTTAACTGACTAAATAAAGACATCGAACAAGTTCAAAATCGAAGTATTTTCAACCGAGTATAGCAACATATATGACTTGGTTTACACTCCAACTGAACCAATAGATTTTTGTATGTACTACAAAAGTGCGGGAAAACAAAGTTTTATTACAAATTAATGTACGTACGTGTATTTGCATTAAAAAAATTGTGTGTTTTACTAATGGAGATCTATATATAATTAGAAAGGAAAATTTCAAATAAGGATCAAAAGTGGAGTTGTATCGTTGAAAAAGGATCATAAGTGAATCTTATTTCAAATAATGGCTTGAAGTGGCTACTTAGTCTCAAATAAGGACTTAAATGGGTATGTGCATCTCATATGCCACTTTCCAGAGGCACGGTAGGAACGTTTTCGGGTTTTTATGTTTAGGCTGCGCATGGCAACCATTTTGTGTCCAGGAACAGATTCTGATCAGAAATGATTCTTTTTGATTCTGTGCCCGAGAACTGATTCTGAACATTTGAATGCGTTTGGTAACGGCCCAAAATTTCTATTCCTAAAATAGTAAAAGAACATAAATGCGTTTGGTAACGGCATAAAATTTCTTTTTATTAATAATATTTTAATAACATTTTAAATATTTTAATATTTCTTTCTTTTCTTTTTTTCTTCTTCTCCTTGGCTATGGCCTGTAAAAATATTTTTTAATTAATAATACTTTTATTAAAAATAATTTTTTTTTATTTTTTTGGCCATGGCCGGTAAAATTTTTTCTTATAAATAATTTTTTATTAATAAATTTTTAAAAAATATTTTACTAAAAAATGTTTTTATTGAAAATATTTTTTCCTTTTTTTTCGCCATGGCCCAGTCGCTGGCCATGGCCGGTAAAATATTTTTTTTATGATAATTTTTAATAAAAAAATATTTTTATTGAAGTTATTTTTTTTTATTTTTTTTTGCCATGGCCTGGTCGCTGGCCATGGCCGGTAAAATATTTTTTATAAATAATTTTTTTATTTTAATAAAAAATATTATTATTGAAAATATTTTTTTTTATTTTTTTCGCCAAGGCTTGGTCGCTAGTCATGGCTGGTAAAATTTTTTTTATTAATAAAATTTTTTTTATTTTTTTTCACCATAGCTTGGTCGCTGGCCATGGCCGGTAAATTTTTTTTTATTAATAATATTTTTTTTATTTTTTTTGCCATGGCCTGGTAGCTGGCCATGGCCGGTAAATTTTTTTTATTAAAATATTTTAATCTCGCCAGATACGGCGAGGGTGGCCCTCGCGCCGGACATTAGAAGTTATATTAAAAACCAAGAAAAAGAAGAAGAAACAAAAAACTGATTCTCATTTTTGTTCCCAGAATCAAGAAGCTACTTTTTTTTTATTCTTGATTCTGCTCCAAAACTGATTCTGGGCACAAATTTGCAAGAATTTGTGCCTAGAATCAAAAAATTAAACAAACAGATTTCTATTCCCAAACTGATTCTGGGAACAAAAGAATAGAATCAAACACTATTTGGCAAGTTACCATGCGTAGCCTTATTTTCTTTTTCTTTCCTATTCATCTTCTTCTTCATGGCGACTTTTTTTTTTCCTTTCTTTCTCTTTCTCTTTTTTTTTAATGTGCTAGTGAGGGCTGTGAAGTCCTCGCCTAGCCTCGCCTAGATATGGGGGAGACCATTGTGGTTGCGGGCGAGGCATTGCGGCTCCTCACCCTCGGCCGGCGAGGCTGGCCTCGCCCAGATCTAGTTGACCTCCGATGACTGCCACCGAATATTGAGAATCCTTTAGTGTCGACGGCGTTGCGTTGTCATAAGAACACGAAAGCGAAGGCAACGATCCACACTACGGAGAGGAGTGCCTTGTGTG